GCAAACGGCACTTCAAAATACCAAGAATTGAGAGAAGAATCAAGGATTAAAGCTTTGAAATGGAAAAAAAGAAAAAAAGAAGCCAGAGAGAAACAAAAAGTGGGAGAGATGAAAGAATAAAGAAACAGAGATCAACATATGGTCTCATGACCACTTAAAACAATTGTGGGCCCCACCAATTTTTTTGAAAAAAATATCTTTTTCTTTAACTAACAATATATACATATATTTGAAACATTACACTTTGTTTATGCCATTCTTATGAAAATAAAAGGATTTCCTTGAAAATAAAATCTGAAAATTATAGTTGTATCCTAAATTATCCTCATTTGTTGCATCACAATAATTTCCCAACATTTTCATAACATATATCCCAACGTATTTGTAAAGTGGTGTATCACAAAATTTTCCTAAAGTACTTCCCAACATTTTCGTACAAATATCCCAACTTATTTGTAAAGTGCATTCCAACATTTTCCTAAGGTGAATCCCAACATTTTCCTAAGGTGCATCCCAACATTTTAATTGTTAATGTACCATTTAAAATGGTACTATTTCCTTCTTCTTCTTCACCTCACCGCCGTTCTGGTACATCCCAATATTTTCCTACGATGAATCCCAACATTTTCCTAAGGTGCATCACAATTTATCCCAACTTTCAACCTAGCCTCAGACCTTATTCCTTTCTTCTTCGTTTTCCCTTCCTTTCTTCTTCATCTTCGTTTATTCAAAATTCAAACCCTAACCCTCCGACCTTCCTTCTTCTTTCTCTCAGACCTTCCTTCTTCCCTTCTTCTTCTTCGCCTCAAACTTCCGTTCTTCACTTCTTCTTCTTCGCCTTAGATCGCCATTGGTACTATTTACTTCGTAGCTTTTAGAGAGAGAAAGGGAGACAGCCGTGCATACCTTTTAGAGAGAGAGAGGGAGACAGCTGTGCGTAGCGTATTTTAGAAATAATATTTAAAAGGGTGGTAAAAAATTAGTTACCCAATTTTTTTAATTGATGTGGCACATTCTCAGCCACTTATTTCAAATGGTGGAAATGGTTGTATTATACAACTAGAGGTAATCCTGGTCCACAAAATATAATATAATACGCAAGAATTTTCTTTACACTTGCTTTCCTTAAGTTTGATTTTTTTTTTTTTTTTTGGAAAGTTACATTTTCAAATATATACTCTTATATATGAATTGACAAATGTACAGCCCAAATTGCAAGTTAGCCCAACGCTAACCAAGTTACAAGAAGTCCAAGGAGGCCAAAATGGAATAAACCCAATAGGCCCAAGCACAACCCAGAATTCAAATAAAAGACCGTTACTTGTCATCATCATCTGGCTTATCACTTCCACCGATATAACTCTTTTTACTCTCTCATTCTTTTTTTTCAAAACGGACATGAGCCACACAAGTCTTATTTTAATATATTTTTAAATTTAAATCTCTTTTTACTCTTTTTTTTCAACTCAATCTTACTCTTTGTGAATAAATATTTCATTTAAATTACAAAATATAAACATAAGAAAAAGAAAAAAAAAAAATCCCGGTAAATAGGATTTTGTTAACATGAATGGATTATCTTTTTGTGAATTGGGATTTCAAATAACTAAAACTACAATAAGGTATTGAAATTTATTAGAAGTAACAATAAATGAAAAGACATTATTGTTCAACCCATAGAAACTCTTTGAGGACAACCATAAACATATTAATTATAATATTATTCATCAAAATTTAAGGTTTTATATTTTAATTTAGGCTCCGTTTGTTTGGACGTAAAATATTTACGAAGAAAAAAATATTAAAATTTTATAAAAAAATAATTTATTCATTATTTTTCAACAAATTATTTTCCAAGCCCCGCTCAATAAATTCGGACTCAACCTCTACGTAGATTTTTGCCAAAATACGAAAAAAATAAAAATTAAAAAATATTTTACTTGAAAAAAAAAATATTTTTTTTAAAAAAAATTTTATATCGAAACAAACAGAATCTTATTAAAAAACTTATTTTGACAATAAGGCAAGGACTTTTCCGCCTTTTGTTGAAGGGGGTATTGTCTCTATAAATATATGTTGGTTTCAAGTTGCATTGGGACTCTACTGTTGGATGTAATCTATGAATAAATTTAAATAATAATTATTTACATCAATATATATTGTTACTAACGTTTCCTTATAAGAAATTATGACAAACAAGCTAGCTGAATTAAGATTTATAAAATTTTAATCAATGCTCTTGGGGAGAATTAAATCATTCATTCTTAATTTTGAAACAAAGAAAGATGTGTAGTTATATTTTAATGTTTAAATTTATTAAAATGTACTCTTTAAGTATTTAAAAAATATTAAATGTGTGGTTAAAAGTATTCGAGAACTACAAAATGCATGTTAGAAATAAAAATATATACCATATCATGATAATAGATTGAATTCGAACATTTTGGGAGAAAAAATTATACCTTCTTAAATCTTACCTAGAGCCCATTAATCCATGTTTGGCAGCTTAGCCCTTGCCCGTTGGCCATCTCAATCCATAAGTCCCATCAACAATAATTGGTCCATCAACACGGATTGGATTTGGCCACATCAATGCAAAAAATTATTAAAGCCACTGTTGGGTTAGTTTAGCATGTTCCCTTAATCAATCATTATGTATTGAAAAATAATTTGACGAAATCATGAGTTCTTTTGCTATTTAAGTAAACACAAAATAAGTTTATTAAAAAATAAAGCTAGTCAAAGTATTAGATTCACACATATTTTACACAACAATTAACTTATTAAAATAAGCCCATTAGAAAGAAAATCATAAGTTATTAGATTATTTTATCTTTTTAAATCACTTTTACTGGATTAAAGCAATTTTTGGTTTGAAAAACAGAATTAAGTTGACCGAATGTAATAATAAAACAATTATAAAAGAAAATAAAAAAAACTAGGCTTTAGACCAAAAATAATTTAAACTTGAGAAAATTGTTTTTTTGCTGTTGTTTTAACCAAATTATAATCCTTTTGACCATAATTTACGTAAAAGTTTTTTACTTACCAAAAGTTGGTGAAAGGAATAGTTTTTTACAATTATAGCATTCTTTTTGTATCAGTCAAAAATGCCATCATTGATTAATCAACGTTAAACTTTTTAAAACAAAAGTTTAAATTTTGAAATGCGACTATGAATTGGAAAGTTTTAAATCATAATGAAAAAATCTATTTGAAACGTTACAAGGTCATTTTGGAAATTGCAACGTAAAGTGAGGGGCAATTCCTAGGGAACTCGTTACCGAGGCATCATGTGGGGACCTTGCTCCTTTCTTTTACTTTAGTGGGTGACTTTATTTTGCTTTTTCAAATTCTTACCCAAAATTTCATCCATTTCACAGTAAAGTTGGCAAAAATTACCAGAATATCCTTCTCTTTTAGAGAAATTTATTATTCTTATTATGCCGATTGCAGATTGCCTAGTTGTGCTTGTGTATTACAGTATTAGTAATCGGTATCGTAACACCTCATGAAAAGTAAAGAAAAATGTTATCCAACGTTAATGCGGGATTAAATTAGGGGTGCAATTTGGGTTTCGCAACCTGAATTGCATTTGAGTTTATCTTTATTTTTTGCATGTTTGTATAATTATATTTATAATTATGTGGATGATAAGGATTCGAGTCTCCAAATAAACAAAGTGGGTGTGTGAGTGTGGTGTATGTGAATTTTTTGCTAATGACATTTTATTTATTTATTTTTTAAAAAAAGATAAGAAGGGTTAGAAGTTAGATTAGTAGGTGCAAAGAGTTGAAGTCTGGCACTTCCAAATTTCACCAGAGACACTAACCACTAGGCTATCGAGGCATCTGCTTGCTAATGACATAAAAATATATATATATATATATATATATATATATATATATATAAATTTATAATTATAATTAAGATTGAATTTGGGTTGAAATTTTTTAACCTAAACTTTATTAGAATCGGGTTTAGTTTAAGGTGTTGGCAACATGAATCAATCCAAATCTAAATTCTAATATTAGTTATATAAAAATATATTTTAAAAATAAATTATATATAATAATTAAATTACCATCACCATTTTTGTTTCAGCTTCTTTTATTTAAATTTTAATGTATTGTATGTTAATATTTTGAAAAATTAAATTTTTAATAATTTGTTTGTAATTCATTAAAAAAAATTGTAATAATTTTTAAAAACTTTTTGTGTTTAAAAGTAATTTAATCTGAAATTAATCACATTGAAATTTTAGTGTGAAAATTTATCATATGGGTAACATAAATTAATTTGACTTTCTAACTTGAATTTTCAACTTGAGTTTAAAATGGAATGATGGATTGAGTTCTCGTTGAATAGTTAAGGTTGGATGTCAGAGTATAATTATGACAGAGTTGAACATTTTTTATATTGAACTAATGTTCAAGTTGCAACCCTTAATAAAGTCACTATAAATTATTTTAAAAAGTTCAATGTTACACTCAATTTTATTAATATGAAATTAAAGAGAGGATAATGACTAACAATCAAAATATAAACTACTGATATTTTGCTTTTTCCAGAGTGGTAAAGAATAGAGAGTGTGAGGTTTAAATAACCGTTGCTTTAATTGGAATATCGTTAGCAAATCATCAAACTGTGATATTGATTTGACTCTCTAACGACAGTCAATAAGTTAATATCATAATTAATTACATTTATAAATATTGAAAGAATAATGAATTAAATTAAACCTCCAACCATCACCCTAAAAATTAATTAATTAAAAAAGAAGAAGATCTGATTTGCGAATCACGAGGAATGAAAGAAAGAAAATTGGAGAATCCTCTAGAAATTATTAAAAAGAAAAAAATGAGCAACAATAGCATTCTCAACGGGTGGCATTTTGGAAATATAATGGAATAAACGGGACAAAAGAGTTGACACGTCATATTCGCTAACCTCACCTTATGCTTTCCTTTATATCTGGTCTCCAACCTCAAACTTTATTACTTTTTTTTTTTGGTAGTTTGCTTTGGCTCACCTGTGTTTCGACCGTTGCTTTTCTCAACGTCTCTCTCTCATCAAGCTTCACCTTATTCCCACCATAACCAGGTACGATTCTTCACACTAATCACACTGCAAACTCGTGTCTTTCAGTTTCTTAAACACATCTTCTCAGGCAAATCATGAACCTTTCATTACTCAAACAGGTTTGTTGAATATCTGTCTCATGCTTTTGAATTGGTTGCTTTCACAGTTAATTTCGTCAACAAAATACTTTCTTTATTTTGATGCTTATGTATGTTTTTGAACACTCATATGTCTCAAACTGGTTTGAATTAAAAATAAAAATAAAAAAGAAATCTTTTTTATTATTTAGATTTTTATTTATTAATGAGTCCACTTTTATCTTAATTTTCTGTTCACCGGAGCTTAAATGGGTTTCATTTCCGTTTTAACTATTTTTTCTTTCCAAAACTGGGTTTCAATTTAGATGCTTTTGTGTGTTTTGGAACCCTTATGTGTCTGAAACTGGTTTGAATTAAATAAAATAAAATAAAACTTGTTTTTTATTATTTGGATTTTGGGTTATTGAGTTCACTTCATCTTAATTTTCTGTTTACTAGAGCTTAAATGTTAATACCCTCAACTGTGTTTCTCTTTTAAACTTACTGTTTTTTATTTTTATTTTTATTTTTTTTCGGTTGTTGATGATGGTGCCTGTTTCTTGGAGCACTCAATAGTCCTCATTCCCGGGCAATTTTTCAGAAAATTCTCTGGAAATGGCCCAAGACTGAATTTTGATCTTTCGAGAAATGGAGAGTTTTTACAATTTTATTGAATATTTAATTTTGGTGCTTTGTTCACAATTACTCTTTTGGAAATTCATATTTGTATGATTTTCTTTCATGGTCAGAGTTTGAATACAAATTTCTTTAGTTTCACGCGCTTTAGAAGCACTTTCCAGTCAAAAAGATTTCACCGCCCCAGTCTTTAATCTGAGAGTTCCTTTATTAATCATCTTTTGCTTCATTGCCTAGTTGATCTTCAGTCTCTTCATTTCAATTGGTTCTCTATATTGGCCTTTCAATGTTATTTTTATTTTTATTTTATTTTGTTGGAGTAGCTGAGCAAACTTTCACACACGCACACACACAACACACTGCACTATGTAAGGCCTCAAACCACTTACCTTCCTCCCCAAAAGATGAGCTGATAACACCCATGCGCCAGTGGTCCACTGTTGTTTTTTATTTTTAATTTTACCAGTTTTTATTGTTGATTACTTTCACTAATTGAATAACATATCCTTCTACCATTTTTCCTATTTTATTTTAATTCATAACTTATTCAGATTCTCCTTTTTATACCATTTCAAAATGCTAGGAGATAAATCTCCTTTTGGGTATTTTTGCAAGTTGTTTAGTTCACAATTTTAAACTAACAGTTCTGCTTAATATAAATATTAGTCTTGGAAAAAAAGAAAAAAAAAAGATTGTGATTGTTGCTTATTGTGGATGATTTGAATTCTAGTCCATGAACTGTTGAAAAATCTAAGAGAAAGCATATAAGAATCTCCATTTCTTTCTTCTGTTATATGTAATTGTGAAATCTTTTGGTATTACTCTTGCCTGTGACTTGAGAACTAAGAAAAGCACCATATCTTTTCAAAATTGTTTCCTTCTGTATGAATCCAATTAAAATCCCAATTTTATATTGTTTACTTCTTGTCAGCTTGCTTACCAGGAATAATTTTCATGTTCTCTTTCTATTTCTTGTCCTCTACATGTTACTGATTCTCCTTGATGAATCAGGGCTCTCAAACTTGCTTCTGTTGACAGCTTGAACAGTTCCTTACAAATTTGGTGAGAAATAAGCAACCATTCCCTCGCGATTTCTGTTTCGACTCGAGCATGAAAAATTCATAGAGATTGGCGAGGTAAAGGGATAGAGAGGTAAGAGATAGAAATGGGATGTTCTACATCGAAGTTGGATGATGAAGAGGCTGTCCAGTTATGTAAGGATCGAAAAAAGTTCATTAAACAAGCCGTTGAGTATAGAATGCGATTTGCCTCTGGACATATTGCCTATATCCAGTCCTTAAAAAGAATTTCTGCTGCTCTTCGTGATTATGTCGAAGGAGATGAGCCCCGTGAGTTCTTATTAGATTCATACACAACCACCCCACCCTTTACACCCATAAAGAAAATGAGCTCAGATTTCATCTCTATATCACCAAATTCCTTCTCATTAAAACCAATCCAATCCAAACACAACTCATCTTTCAAAATAAATTATCTTAGGTCAGGTGGGAACCAATCAGTTGCTGTAGAGGAGAGACCACAATCACCTGAAACAGTTCGAATTGAAACCTACTCTCCAATGCAACATTATGGGATTGATGGGTTTTTCGCAATGCAGTCCTCACCCATGAATTCCTCCTCATTCTTTTCTTTTTCCCCCAACCAGAGACCCAATTTTCCTCCCCCTTCACCTCAAAATTCCCAATGGGATTTCTTCTGGAATCCATTTTCTTCATTGGACTATTATGGTTATCCCACGAGGAGCAGCCTCGACCAGACTGTCTTGGATGATGAATACACTCGACTAAGGCAGGTTCGAGAAGAAGAAGGGATTCCCGAATTAGAAGAGGAAACTGAACAAGAAGAAACTAATAAGAAGGTAAATATGACCAAAGAGAACATTTACAATAATGTCAGCAGTGCTGAAGAAGAAGTTTTTGTTGAAGATGTTGATGAGGATGATGACGATGATGATGATGACTGCGAGACAGACAGTGGCAATGAAACCAAAAATGAAGAGAAAGGATTACAATCTCAGGGTAGGCAGAACACAGAAGTATCAAAAGCACAAAATGGAGGACAAGTTACAAATCAAGAAACTGCAGTTGCTGATCAAAAATGTAATGAAGGAACACCAGGGTTTACTGTCTATGTAAAACGAAGGCCAACATGCATGGCGGAAGTTATTAAGGATCTTGAAGATCAGTTCATGATTGTTTGTGATTCAGCTAGTGAGATATCAGCTATATTGGAGGCTAGCAGAGCTCAATACTCATCAACCTCAAATGAACTCACAGGTGTGGTAATTCAACACTAAGAGCTTTATTTATTCTGCCACCACTTTGTTTTTTTCCTTTCCTGTTTGTCCCTCTGAATCTATCATAGTTTTATTCATTCACAATTTAAATTTTTTATGTATAAAAAAGAATAATTCAATATTTATATTTTAGGAAAGCAGTAATCGATCTGAAATTGGATTAGAAGTGCATGTAATTTTAAGGGATTGACTTAAGAGCAACTAGCTTGTCTGGCTCTTTAAAGGGGTTATCAAAAAAGAAAAAAGCAAAAAAGAATACAAGGATCTGATTAGTGCCATTTCAATAAATTGATTCTTGTTTAAAAGAATAGTTATCATTTTTTTCAAGCTGATACAAGCTTTCTTTAGAAATGTGAAAAATGGATATTTCCTTGAAAACTGCTATTCCAAAACATTATGTGAAATCCATTACTTGAAAGAAAAGAAAAAAATAAATAAATAAATAAATTACAAGTAGCTCTTATTTGAAGATGATTCCAGGCAAAGCATGATAAGAATGTGCCAAAGGTTAAGATTCTACCATTAGGTTCTTCTTCAATTTATATTTAGGCCAAAGCTAACAGAGCAACGCATTTAAGTTTTTTTTTCAACCATAGATTGTCAAAAGAGAAAATCATTCTGAAGAGGAAGTGCTGGAGATTTACCTATAAAGCCTAAATTGAATAAAGTGGGATTTAGGCAAGTTACTTTCATCAAAAAATAAAACCTTTCGAAAAAAAGAGGGTAATGCTACTGTCAAAATAGGTTCACACCATTCTCATAATGATGTCAATTTCATGAGATGAATGAGAAATGGAAAACCAGCATATTACCGCTTCAAAGAGGGTAATACTGCTGTCAAAGTAGGTCCATATCATTCTGATTATGATGCCAATTTTTTTAGATGAATATGACATGGAAAACCAGCATACTTCTAGAATTCTTTTTCTGTTAATTTGGAAATTTGACACTACCTTTCTGTACTGCAAATATGGTACTTAGATGAGATCCTTTTAATGTTTTAAGTATCAAGTTTTATCTGATAAAAGATGAAGCCTTAATTCTTTTTCCATTAATTTGGAAAATTGACACTACCTTGCTGTGCTGCAAATATGGTACTTATAATGTTTTTAAGATTCAAGTTCTATCTGATAAAAGATGCAGCCTTAACTTTACAATGATACAAGCTAGTTACTACCTCATTTGCTAACCAAAAAAAAATGCTCTTCGGGAAGTGAGGTCTTAATTTCTATCCTATAACTTCCGCGATATTTATATTTCCTCTTGAAGTGTACGTTTATGTTTAAAACTTTTAGAATATCAATTTATGAGATTCTTGTTTTTTTGTAGCTATGAAAGTGTTGAATCCAGTAGCTTTGTTCCGGTCAGCTTCATCTCGCTCATCCTCATCAAGATTTTTAATCAACTCTACAAGCTCCAGAGATGAGGGTGATGAGAGTACTAGTGACTTCTCAGAGGAATCCACTATGTTTTTGGGTAATCACCAATCGACGCTGGACAGATTATTTGCTTGGGAGAAGAAACTCTATGAGGAAGTTAGGGTATATCTCTAAACTTCTTTCCATAAACAACCTTCAGAAAGGTTGACTTCTAATGACCAATAATGTGATCTTTATTACCCAATTTAGATGACATGATCAAGGAAGGAAGCAAAAAAAAGAAAAAGAAAAAGAAAAAAAAGCAGAATAACAATAAACTGTTATTTCAATAAAACACCTACTCCAACCTAAAGTTTATGCCTTCTTTTATAAGTCATTGCTTGAAGTCACTTATTAGGGAACATGATCTAGTTATAATGTGGAATCCATAGAAATTTGATTAACCCTCACTAAAAATGATCCCACTTAAAAATGGATAGTGGAAATCATAATAGTATTAAGTTCCTTTGTTGACATCCTGGGATGATAGATGGTAGACTTCAGATGACCACTGATCATCGAGTAGATATAGGGTGCGCCGGGCATACCAAGTCATTGGTATGCCAACCAATCCACGTGCACCATTCAAGTTGGTTGGTCCCACATACTCATAAAAACTACTCTCAACCAACTTGATTAGTGCATTTTAATTGATTGGGCATACCAATGATTTGGTATACCCGGCACACCCTATACCTACTCCGGATCATCCCAGTAGCTAACATTTCTGGGAAGTAATCGTTCAACTTCCAAAGTTGCTTTCTTTAACTTCTACAATAAGCAATGTTGATTTTGCTTGAAGTAATTGAACAAAATATGGCCTAGGTAGTTGTGCAATGTTCAGCTGTTTGGTCGTTATTTTTTAGTTAATGTTCCTGATGAACACACACTGACATAATTGCATACAATATTGGGTACCTGTGACTTTTTTCTGGGTAAATTTGGTATCTGTGACTTGCTAACAAAAATATCGGGTATCTGTGACTTCTGACATTGCATACAATATTAACTGTTCTGTTTGTTTTTCTTTTATATAGTCTGGAGAACGGATTCGCATAGCGTATGAGAAGAAATGCATGCAACTCAGGAACCAAGATGTGAAACGAGACGATACTTCTTCAGTGGATAAAACAAGGGCAGCCATTAGAGATTTGCATACCCAGATTAAGGTCTCAATTCACTCGGTCGAATCTATTTCAAAGAGAATTGAAACTTTAAGGGATGAAGAATTGCAGCCTCAGCTTCTAGAATTGATACAAGGGTATGTCATTCATCATTATCCCAAATGTATCCTACTATATGAAGCCTTGCTTATACCATATACAATCATTCTCTGAATAAAAACCAAATCTTTATGAAGATTCGAACTTTGATGGTAGAAAACCCACACGTTATATCATTGTGACAGTATCCTCTAAAGTACATGTTATTCTCATTTAGGGATACAGTGGCCTCTTTCAGTCCAATAGTGGCACGATATTCACGTATCACATAGAATATCTTCTGACAGTATGTATCTGTATGCGAAAGCTCTTCTGACAGTCATGTATCTGTATTATCAGACGCATGAGTTGAATTATGCATTATCTAATCTAAGAAAACTTCTTGTGAGAATATCATTCACTAACTAAATATAATGACGATGAAGAACAGGTTAGCAAGGATGTGGAAAGTGATGGCAGAGTGTCATCAATCGCAGAAGCGTACATTAGACGAAGCTAAGCTCTTACTAGCTGGCACGCCTTCAAAAAAGGGTAACGCAAAGAAACACACTATGAGTTCACCTTCTGAGCCACACCGGCTAGCCAGTTCTGCTGCAAACCTTGAGACAGAGCTCCGAAACTGGCGAGCATGTTTTGAGTCATGGATCACTTCTCAACGATTCTACATGCATGCATTAGCAAGTTGGCTCCTCCGTTGCCTCCGTTCTGATTCAGATACCTCAAAGTTACCATTCTCCCCTCGTCGATCAGTTGGGACACCACCAATATTTGGACTATGCATACAATGGTCCAAGTTCCTTGATGCCATTCATGAGGACCCGGTGCTTGATGGACTCGATTTTTTTGCAAATGGTGTTGGTTCTCTGTATTCACAGCAGCTAAAGGAAGACTCCCGGCAGACTCCGGTTGGGTCCAAGAGATTTGGAGGTGGGTTTCTGGCGGAATCTGGCGGGAAAATGGATATGATGGAGATTGGGCAGTTGGAAGAGGATGTAATGACTGTTGAGAAAATGGCTGAATTTGCCGTTAGGGTCCTATGTGCTGGAATGTCAGTTGCTGTGAGCTCGCTCACAGAGTTTGCTGTTGGTTCAGCAGAAGGATATGCTAACTTGGTCAAGAAATGAGAGAATGCCAAGTCATAGTCCAACAGACTAGGATGTAATTTCCGGTATTTTGTTAGGTAGGTTTTTTTTTTTTTTTTTTGGTTATTTCTGGTATTTCGTTCGGTAATTTCTGTAATTTCTGGTTTTTTTTTGGCTGGGGATAGGTAATTTAGTATGGGACTCCATGTAAATTTAACGTAAGTTTCTACACGCATAGAAGTGGCTATCTTACCATCTAATCCGGGATTTTGAGTTGCTATCTTATTCTCCTATCTAATTTGAGATTTCGAGTTGCTGAGAAGAGAAAGGAGAAAATAAAAGAAACTTAAGATCATAGAACTAGTGGGTGTTCTGAAAAAAAAAAAAAAAAAAAAGAAAAAAGAAAGAAACACACACTAGTGGGTGTTTAGGATGCTAGCGGTAAGTAATTTCATTTATAATTCCAATTCCCTTTCCTTCACATTCTTGGTAACCAAACAGAAAATATAATTTGATAACACAAGTTCCTTGATACCAATAGGCTACAAACAATAAAGCATGTGATACTAATAAGCTAAGGACTTCCTATATGCTGATGGAAAATGAAAATATTTGCAGTAAGGTAGTAGTAGTTAAGTGATGCAACTAGAAAAGGTTCCCAGCATTACATTGCAGAAATAAACAAAGCAATTACACAAAACAGAAACTCATATCTTGATCCACTGCTAACTTAGGCCACTCTGAATCCAAACACTAGTTAAAATCTCGTCTTTCAAAGAAAAACAATAAATAATTGCAATAATTGCTTACAGAAATGATTCAGATGGTAAAACAAAACTAACATTATTAGGGCTAGGGATATTGAACAAATAAATGGTCTAAACTGCAGAACACATTAACATCAAGGCTAGGGCTAAGCTTGGCATTTTGTAATTCTTATTTCAGAGACCACCATGCCACCTGGTCATCCCACTTGTGCAGATAACTAATATGCGCATCCCACAACAGAAATACCGCCATACTGATATATACAAGTTATTCGATAACATTATTGATAAAATGCATCTGAAACAGAACCTAAAGAATAATGGATTATAAACGAAAAGAGCTAAAAGTGAGATACTACACTTTCCTCAAATTAGGATACAAAAAGAGATCCATGTAGTCTTCTACAAAATAAGTCAGCCATAACAAGACTGAATTAAAATGATCTGAGCAATTAGATTTTGGCATTTTGCACAAGTTGACATTCATAGCCAAAAATGTAAAAGAAGACATTTATTTAATAAACTGGATATTCCCCCACAAAATATAGTTTGATCTATTTCACAATAATATCCAATCAATTTTTGTGCATGCATAATTTGCAAAATTTACATGCAGAAGGAAAAGAAATCTCATTAGGCTTGGCCCATAACCAAGAAAAGCTAGAAGGATTTAAGAAATAAACTCAATTGATAAATGTTTGTTTTAATCATCGTAACTCAGACTATCATCATCGTCGTCAAGCTCTACTTCAGTATCATCAGACCCACTTACGAGCGACAAGAAGACTAAGACCGCTACCAGCTGTGCTAATAAGAAGTATTTGGCTCTTCTTCTGAAGGTTTTCTCTTCCTCCGTCTTTTCCCTCTTAGGTTTGCTCTTGGGTTTTGAACCTGCTGGGATTATAAACTAGGTTAATTCTATAACCATGCACGAAGAAGGGGGAAGAAAAGAAAACTTTAAGTAGATAGTTGGGATTAGACTCTACAAACAGAAATTAATCCAAAAGAGAGAGAACCACAGAATGTGCAAGTAAAAAGTTAGCACCACAAAGTGCAAGGAACGGTTATAATGAAATTTTCTCAATTGTAAGAAACCTCAACATTAAATCACATCAACTCTAATGTCAACCAAAAATGCTCAATTACAGATGCAATTATAACCTTCTCATTGATTTAGTAAAACCTCTTTGATGTTTATAAAACTCAAAAAAGAATGTTGGATAAGTTGGGAAGCAGAACCCCCCTCCAAAGCAAGCAAGTCTGCGCACACCCAAGACTTTGGATGGCCTCAGGTTGTCGACATCTCAACCTAAGTGAAACCCAGTTTAAATTTGGGTTATAGTTTTTCAATAGAAGCCCAACCCAAGTCATATAAATGTTGTCCTAGATCATGAAAATTTGAATTGAGTTTGGGCTAAGCTCGGATTACCCACCCAAGTTGCATCCCTACGCACTAGCCAACTGTTGACAAGATCTCCCAAAAAAAATTATGAACTCACTTTTTCCATTAAAAACAGAGAACTACAAACATGAGCTTAAAAAAAGCTCCTGAATATCAAAGCCATGATATGGGGATAAAGCTCAAATCAACCAACAATGTTTGAAGGAATACCTCATGCCTTAGCCATTATGATTCAGGGCGTTGTTTTCTTAATAGAATTTTTATTAGGCAAATGAAACCATACCCTACTAGTCTATGGTATCCATCAACCCATGAAAATAGAAACAACTAAAAGAATAACTAGCAGAAGAAAAAGTCCATGCATGAAAACTGAAAGTAACTTACTCCAATTTGAGGGACCTCGTTTTGGTGCAGATGATGATGGATCTGAGCGAGCGCGTGGGATAGAAGAAGAGGAGGAACCAGCTTCTAAGAATGACATCTGAAGTTTTTCAGCATACTGCACAAGATTATTATACTCCAAGAGCTTGCTCCGCAGAACTGATGTTTCCTATTGGCACATTATCAAAGATTGCGGCAACCATTCTTAATATACCACAGGTAAAAGAAGTTCAGACTATTTCAATAATTTGATGGAAATCAGAAAGCTTGAACTGGACTATCTTCACAAATATGTAACAAAAATGTTTCATCCGTTCAAATAAGTTTGTTACAAAACCCAATACGTATAATACTAAAAAGACCACTATATAGATGATTGGATGCATTCTTCAATGACACACATCATGGTCAGGTACATTTTAGTCAAAATCACACTTTTTTCTTCTTTTCTCTAATAAAAAACAATCCTCTTGGGTAAATCACACAATTCTACTTTTTTAAAAAAAAAATAACAAGAATGTCAACAACTCTGACGCTCAATGTCGCGTGTTATGGTCAAGTACACTTTGAAGTTATATGTAGATTTTACGCATAGACATAGACACAGTTCTTAGTTGTCATCAAGGCTTTGTGTTTGAACAACACCCCAATGGCTCCAAGCCAGTTTCTTACTTACCTATTCACTACTTCAAGTAACAGTGTGCCTCTATGATTGGCTCAATTGTCAGCAGATCTTGAGATCCCATTAGAAGATTTTTAATTCTACTATTTTAGCAGCAGAAATCCTCCATTAACAGCTTTAATATGATTAACCGAAACTTGGGGCTGTCAGTATTTGAAAATGGATACCCAAGAGACTGATGAATATTTTGTTGACAATGTAATGTTTCTAGTAAAGTGGATCCACATAAATAAAAGCTGAAAATATTTGTCATACATCCCATATTTGACCCTACCCAGTTTTAAACAAATCTTCAATAATCAAAATTAGACATCCAACATGTGATGATAGAAGACGGAGGAGCAGGAGAAGAGGAAGGGTGTACAAAATTGCACATATATGAACTGTTAAAAGCTAGGGTCCGTCAACTGCCGAACTGCAACATTTCACCAAAGCCCATCTCTCACCAAAACAAAATGCCTACAATCTTCAATTAGATGGTTTAACCAAAACTTTCCTTAACCAAAGCTCATGTGGAAGCCGATATTTACTTAACAAAACTTTTCCAAACTACTCGAGGTCAGCAACATGAATCTTGTTTCATCAATCTGCTCTATCTTGGGCCATAACGTCAGACAAACCATGCATTATCATATATTCCATAAATATATCAATCCATGTTAGTTTTAGTCCCTTTTTCTACCATACCCTCAATGTAGACCACATGTTCTTCCCTGTGTCGGCAGTTATTGGTCTTCGATGCCCATGGAAAAACCATCTTAATCGGGATTTTTCTAATCTTATTACCAATTGGCACTACTACTTCAACCATCTCATGAATGTGCGTTTCAAAATTTGACTTTTCTTGTCTTAACAACACACCCATCTCAACATTCATATTTCAGTCACACTCATTTATGAATATGTTGTTTCTTCATCATTCAACAATATGTCCCATAAAGTATGCCTGGTCTAATCATTGTTTCAAAGAATTTACCTTTCATTTTTAGAGGATGAAGAAGCCAGAATCTAAATTAAAATTTTCACAGCAATTTATAGTAGTTTGAAAACTTGAAATCATTTAGAGTCATACAGATCGACAGCAGATGGTATAAAACTAGAGTTGATTTGTAGACTCCTATTGAGGTCTAAATTTTCTAATTGTGGAACCCGTTAACAGCCTTAGGGACCAAAATATCATGCAATCTCATGCTTGGGATCAACGTTTCTATTTCTAATTAAAAAAAAAAAAAAAAAAACAACGTACTCCCTCCGTCCCAAAATAGTTGGGTACTTCGGGAACTGTGACTCACAAACTGTGAGTCACAGTTCCCAAAGTACCCAACTATTTTGGGACGGAGGGAGTACTTTCTAACCCAACAAAAATTGGTTCTTTTTAGTATGAATGCATCTTCAATGAACCACAATTGAATACAAGAAAGATAAGAACTGCGGTACAGTTCATAAAGTACTCACAGGTAATGCTTGAAGTGTAAAAAGCACATGCCCAAGGAAAATTGCATCCAAACTTGTTGGCCTGTATTAAAGAACAGCGAAAGGTGGGAACGTCAATAGTGCATCAATATCATTTATCAGCTAATGACAACAAATTTTTTTTATTTTTTATTTTTATAAGTGAGCTCATGACAACCATTTAAGACCATAAAAGTTGCGTGAACCATTTGACTTGTGGTGAAAAGAAATTTATAATGCCATTTCTTCAGGAGTCACCTGTCTTCAAAGAAAAAGGACTGTTCCCCCAATCTAGTTGACAAGGATCCATAAGCAATAGTTGCTCTCCTGTAAATCTGCCCAATAAAAAGCACTGATAATTTTATATTTAAGGCATTTGTGTATTGTGTAAGTAATAAAAAGATAAAGAAAGAAGAAGAAATAATCAATTCTCCTAGTGGGTACCCACCTAACAGCAGCAGAAAACCCCTAGAAACGTACTTTTATAAGAGAGAGGGGGATAGAGAAGAGTGATGGAAATACTACCTCTTCTTCTCTTCGTTCAGCATTTTCTTTTGTTATCCCAAGTTGTTGCTTTGCAACGCAAGTTTGCTTGAAATATAGAAATTTTCCAATTGGCCATGGAAGATCTGAATAATAAATCTTATGTGCAGAACTTCCATCAGAACCCACCCAGAGTTCATACATTATTGCATCTGCAAGCCATGAATTGATCATTGCCTTCATTGATAACCATTCTGGAATAGCATGGACTTCAGAATCCAAATCAACAATACCATCTTCTCTTAAGCTCTCAATAACTCCACCCTTCTCATTGTTATAGGCCACATAAACACCAGACTCAACATACGGAATTTGATCTAGCAAAATTAAATCAACCAACGTGTTATGGTAACTGTGATCATTGTGCGTATTTATTGATTATAATAAAATTATGGACCACTAATCATTAGCTCATGCTGAAATTAAATTAGCAATTAATTTACAGAAATGCATGCTACAACAACTACACATTTCAATTGAAACAATAAATGAGTAATTCATGGTGACCCAATCATCTTTCCTAGTGAGAAATATTAAATTCGAGTTTAGCCACTCCTTTATTATGCTACAAAACATGGTCGAACAAAAATAATGTCCTCCTACGAAGTGTACGTCAACTAAAAAAATCTTTAAACCACTATATAGAGTTTTTTGCCATTTTGCATTATCAATAGCCAATATATAAATATAAGTCAGATCAAAAGAATAAATTATAGACAAGATAAAGGAGTGATGAAAATCTGAACATGCGGCTTCTAATTATAGTGAGTGAAGAGATACAGCTCAACTCAATAAAGCCTCACAACTCAACTCAATGAATCTTTGTGCAAATATCTAGGGTTTGCTACATCAATCATGTTTTGCCAACCATCCCATTCAAGGGAACAATTTGAGATAAGTAGCTAACCATGAGAGACAAATCTCCCCTAACAATTTTGGTCTTCCTCTCGCCCTACCAATTGAACCATGTCACTCCTCCTCGTCACTAATGCAGTTATTGGTCCTTATTTCGCATGACTAGATCATTTTAATTAGTTTTCTAACTTTTCTTTTTATTGCCGATTAATGCTACTTCCAACTTCTCATCAATGAGTTCACTTCAAAGTTTTTCCTTGCAATCTTGCTAGTATCCACATCAAACCCCCCGTTTACAAACTCCTTGTGTATTAAATTCAAAGTATTTGGTTCCACAAAGTATGGTTGGTTTCATAATGGTGTTGTAAAATACTTTTCTTTCAGATTCCCAAATGCGTGTGGATTGCAAAGCACTCCAGAATTACACCACTCCTCCGCCTATATGAATAACTAAGCCTAGATAACGGAAATGTTCATTTGTTAGTATCTATTTTCCATTGATCTTAACTGCTTATGCATTACTTTTCTTCTTGTCAGTTTATTTTTCTACTTCTGGTTGCTAGTTTCATTCCATAAATGAAATATTTCCCCTTATCTAGCTATCTTAATCCCTCTCAAATTCCAAAATCTTATTCCTAACTTATATAGCATTATCCCCAACTCAGTTTAAACTATGTGATTCATTGGCTTACTCAAAAAAACCCAGCTACATAAGAGATACACTCATATACCAGAAGTTGTAGCAAAGTAACACTCCATAGATTACCGGTTCAGTAAATTTGAAACAGATATCCCACTAAGGAGGAAGCACTAAACTTGGTAACAATCCAATGATCATCAAATGCCCTCTTAAGATTGAACTGTTGCAGGCTTCTTAAACTCTTCCCTTCTCTCTCTCTTTTTTTTTTTTTTGGCTACATTATACAAAGCCTTACTTCTGAAAGAACACTCTGTAAGATTATAACATGTTTGAAGAATTTATATGTGCCAAGGGAAGGGGAAATTTTGTCAAATTACACTGTCACCCCTTCGAAAGATTGGTCCAATGATACAAGCACACCCAAGGCGAGTGTAAATCAGGACAACCAGTCCACTTGACACAATAAGGCCAAGCAGAACCACTAGGTCATGACACAAATTAGCACATAAGAGAAGCTGTTTCATACAAATAAAGCCATAGGTTTGGTTTGTACACGTTTATTCATATTACCACCCCTAATGGCTGAGCCCTAAATGGTTGATGGCACTTTTAGTTGTAAGTTTATGTCTGTCATACTTTATTTAGTATTGGCTTTAGCTTATGTATAGTTGTTATGTTCCTAGTCTATTCATATTCCATTAGAAAATCACATTTTCTTGCAAGCCAAGCATTTAAAATAGCTCTCCAGATAAGTGCCATTTTTTTATTAAATAAAAAATTAAAAAAATGGCCACGATGAATGGTCTAAGAAGCACAAAACACTTCTAAGAAAGATACACATTAGTGTCAAACATCAACACTTCTCAAATACTCCTAGACACCTTCCTGTCACACTCCAGACGTGATGACAAATATATATTTTTTTTATATAGTTGCGAAAATGTAACCAACAAAGCTTCCATCTGTCCATCACATCAATCAACTGCTAGGTTATCCATGCTTACATAATCAAAACAAGATAAACAACCATCCCTCATTATAAGTGCATTCTGACTTGCTATTATCGAAGAATTTTGTTGAAAACGTATTTTGTTTTCAAGGTAATGCAAATATGACAAAATAATAATAGCTCAAAAAACAATACAATGTCACAAATAACAAAAAACACATCAAAACACGGGATGAATTAACATCAAACAGAACACAATTCGAGAACTAGATAGCACCAAACAGGGAAGGAATAGAAACATGAACACAATAAGAAATTACACAAGTACATATTTGAGATACATAAATACACACACATATGTATAGAGTACGTACCTGAATCAGGGTGAATTAGATTGTAATCCAAATCAAAGGGAACTTTCGCAAATCTTAGATAAATGTAAATGGGCAAGCATGACGGGCACGCAGTTGGCAAACCAAAACAGGGTTTTCTAGTCACAAGAGTCAGTTCTCTGTTGTTCACTTCATCCATGTGCATGTATATGTGTATAAATGACCGCACTGAGCTCTCTCCTCCTTTCTCTGATTCGCTAAAATCTATTCAGAATAATGCAAAAAAGGAGTTCAATTGGAGAAGAAAGAGATGTTAAACCCTAGGGTTTTGATGCAATCACTTGTAGGGTTTCTTGACCGAGGAGTGACTGTGGGTAAACACTTGTAGAATTTTGGGAATTGTTGGATGGTACGCTGGTAATTACGTATTGAATTGAGGGTCTTTGAATGTCAGATTTCGAATTATTTTAATTAGGCTCCAAAAAATGTGCCTATGCATAATGCCTCCCTAATGTATAAATTACTTTGGTTAAAAAATAAATAAACAAATAAAATTTTAAAATATAAAATAAACACGTTTTTGTTTAAAAATTATTTACTATTTCAACCCAATCCCAGTTTTCTTTACTTTTTTTTTTTAAAAAACTTTTTCTTTTTTAAAAAAAAAAAAAATTCCAGAACAATACTTCAATTTCTTTTCTTTGGTGGCAAAAGTAAAATAAAGAGAAAATAAAAGTAGTATAAAACATCATTAATCCAATTTTATCCAACCTTTTTTTTCTTTCTTTAAAGTTAATTTATCCACCGTATAAGGTGGTAGTAGGATTTTATTATTATTATTATTATTATTATTATTATTATTATTATATTTTTTTTTTATGGTAGTGTTGGACCTCTTAGAGCATTCAATAAATTATCACCGACCACGTGTAACCCTCCCCCATCCCACATTCACAGGGCCTCTAGTGGATTTGAACTCCTGACCTACAATTTGTGAGGTGAGAGTCTTTGTCATTAGACAATTTCCTTGCATTTTGTATGGTAAGATTAACCGTCTTTCTCCTGAACTTACCATAATTATTATTTTTATTTTTATTATTGTAGTCAAATAGTTTTACCTGTTTAATTTGGTCAATTTGAAAATTGAAAGTTCTCATTTTAAAAAAAGGGTGATGCTAGCACGAGGTCTCTCACATAAAAACTTTTCCTAAACTCTTTTTGTCTTTTTATTATGATGGTGTGCAAATATTAAGGCATCAATCTAACCATCGAAAAAATTTGTATGAAGATTGTATTATCAAAATATTACAAAAAGTTACACCATTAACTTTGAAATTTCTTAAAATTCATTTACAAAAAATTACACTTAACTTTGATCATCTCATGAGAAAGACCTCATAATAACCTCTCTTTTATATATATATATAGTTGCCCCCTCAAGGAATTATTTGCAGTTCTCATGCTTCCTGAGACACTAATGCCAAGTAACTTAACAACGGGCTAGTCACCTAGCAGTATCAGCCTCTTACTTCCTAAAGGGAGGTCAGGGGTTCAAGTCTCAAAAAAGACAAGTATGTGTGAGTACCAACTAAAAAAAAAAAACTTACCAATTTGAACCAACCCCTTGAAATTTACTTTTTTAAATATATATATATAATAATAAAAAAAAATTATATGCTACCTTATTTGACCGGCAATCTTGGATCTTTACCAAAGACTCACCCCAAGGGAACTTACTATAGCCACTAAGAGGGCCGGCCCTGAGATTCCCAAAATTTTGAGAGGCCCTAGGTAAACTTTCAAATGCAAGGCCCTTTAAGTTTCACACGCTCAAAAAAAATTATAAGAGTGCAAAATTTTCACACGACATTTTCAAATTCTACAACAAATATAATTATGTGTATGTGCCATGTGCATAAGACAACTAACTAATAACTATAAATATAACTATCAATTTATCACCCCCAACAAATAATTGTGCATCCGTGCAGTGTGCATAAAATAGCTAACTAATAACTATAATCTATTACCACCAATAAATAATTGTGCGTGCACGTGCAGTGTGCATAAGACAACTAATTAATAACTATAAAACTATCACCATCAATAAATAATTGTGCGCCTGTGCAGTGTGCATAATCAGAAAAAGAATGGATGTTTTAGTCTGTACGGATCACTAAATTCCACTTTGATTATCCATGCATATATACCCTTAGTTGTCAAAACAATAGTAAACAATTATTTCAAGGCATCGAAATAAATAATGTACTGGTATATGTTTTTTTGGAATTCATTATTCCTTTATCAATTCTATGGAATTACATAATACCCTAAACAGAGAAACCACACTAGCTGAGAATAATTCCCCATTCCCTTACCAAATTCGATGTGCATATATATTATATATACACACACACACACACACATATATATATATATTAAGTACTCATCGCAGTAGCATATACACACACACACACACACACACACACAAAGGTCATCCGAAGCCCCCATGTTCCATCTGTGTCATTTACTCCCTCTAAACTTCATTAACACCTCTCTGCAGCTCATCAGACCTCCGTATATAGATGTTACTAATTATCAATTAAATCCATTATTCCATACAACTCAGCAGCTCTAAACAAGACAAACTCTAACCAATCAACTTCATGACCTCTTATACAGATGTAGAACTTTGTCAAAACCAAAGCAAACAATCTCAATATTAAACACCCAATTCACACTAGTACTCTTAACTCTTTCTTTCACTTTCACATGCATAGTAGAAGACAAATACCCACCTCAAAAAAAAACCCTCGAATTATTAACACAATCTTCAATTCATAGTTCTTTCTTGGAATATTAGGTATGACTTAAATTCTCTTCATATATATAACGGCCCTTTCTCAGTTTTCTCTGCAAAATCATTTTAAGTCTAAGGCAAGGTTCAATCAACATTCCTTGAAAAGAAAGAATTAATATAAATGAAGCCAGAATGATTGCCTTGTAACCTGCATGATTTCAAGCAATGCAGCATGTGGAATAACAAGTGGCCAGCTATAATTCCACTTTGATTATCCAATTTATCCTGCCTTTATTCTAAGCCTCTAAGGTAAGGGGTAAATCTTCTATTTCAAGCGTCCCATAAATTTTCAAAATTCAATAATCAAGCAGACCAATGAAATTAGATTCAAATTGATCAAAAAGGAGATAAAAGATTCATAAACACGAGGAAAAAAAAAAAAAAGTTCAATTCCAGATTGGAAAAAGCGAAAAAGGAACCCAGTACAATATATTCGAATTATTGGATGAGTTACTTACTTGTAATCTTTTCGGTGCTGCTCCTGATGAAACTGAAGCTAATCTCCCAAAACCAAACACAAACCCAAATCTAATCCTTCGACTTCGAGCAAGCGACAGGAGCCCCAGAACACAATTAGTTTTTTCATTTTTTTTCTTGATTCGAAAAACGTAACAATGGGTTAAGAAATTCAGTGACTAAAAAGACAGCCAAACTGAACAAAATTGGGCCCATAAACCCAAACGTATTATTTCTATTATGGGCCAGCATTTTTTATTTCTGTATCAGCGTTTTTTTCAGTAGAATCAACTTTTGTTTTGGGCCAAATTTTGAGGCCTAGTATAACTATAGAGGTTGGACCAAAATTTGACGCCCCCAAATTTGGAGCCCATAGGCGACCGCCTGCGCAGGCGGCCCAGGGCCGGCGGGGACTAAGGTTTTAAATTGTGACTATATAAAATGGTCTTCATTTTTTTTTATTTACGGGGTATTTTTATTTAGACATGAATAAAGCTAACTTATTTACATTTATGGAAAGATTTAGATGTCCTTACATGCGAAAATATATACTCCTATATAAAAATATCCCTACTAATTTGTTGTAGGTGAGAGTAATTTTGAAATTTCAAAGCCCTACTTTCCAATGCTTGTTTAATCATGGTTGTCGATAAGAGCAATTAATTAGAGAAATTAATGAGGTCATGAGAAAATACATGGGCACTCTCACATTCATTTTATGCACCCCTAATAAATAATCAGTGCTAACGTTTTTAATTGTTTGCATGTTGTAACAACGTGACAAATAACATTGTCTCTAAAGTATGTAGTAAAGGGACAAGATTAAAATGGAATAAAGGGTGATCCAAAGTTTTGAACCATATTTGTTTTATGATTTGGATACCCACATACTTTCAAGGAAAGATTTGGGGTAAACTCATTATTTGATGTAGGTTCGTTCGTTTTGATGTAAAATATTTTTCATAAAATAGTTTTTTTTTTTTTTTAATGTTTGATTGTTGTAAAATATTTACGAAGAAAAAATATATTAAAATTTAACAAAAATAACTTATCCATAAATTTTTGACAAGTTATTTTACATCCCCCATCTGATGGACTCGACCTCAACCTCAACGTAGGCCTTTGCCAAACACCGAAAAAGTAAAAATACAAAAATATTTTACTTGAAAATAGAAAATATTTTCTAAAAAACATATATTTTACGTCGAAACAAACGGAGCCATAATGTTTAATCTTTACAATTATGTTCGAGAGTACTGAATCAGCTCTTTACTCTTTATAATTGAAATCGAAGTTAGTTCAAAATTTCAACTAATTTGTTTTCAGTTTTAATTTCAAAATATTTTACTTGAAAAAATAAAATATTTTTTAAAAAATATATATTTTACTTCGAAACAAACGAAGCCATAATGTTTAATCTTTACAATTATGTTCTAGAATAGTAAATCAACTCTTTAGAATTGAAATTGAAGTTAGTTCAAAATTTCAACTAATTTGTTTTCAGTTTTAATTTCAATACTATAATTCGGTAGTTTCAAACATAACAAGGAGAAAATATTAAATACCCGAGGTATGGTATCACCACATCATGATCCAAAGGCCCCAACTATCCCGAGTACTAGGGATATTTAATACTTTCTCAGTGTTAAAAATTTTGAATTTATTTAATTATTTTTTCAAAATTACATGATTTGTAAATTTAACGTTATATTTGGCCAAGGGCGGATCCAGGAATTGTCCACCCCTAAATCCGCCCGTGTTTGACAACACCTAATAGACACAATGAATTTAAAATTTAAAAAAAATCTATTAAGAATTGTCCGTTTGTAGTTGAAAATAAACCTTGAAATTTAGTGACATTTTTTCCAGACTTAAAAGATCTTAGGATTAAATATGGTCGCTTTACTTTATATAGTAAAAAACTCAAACATTCAGGTTATTGTCGTGTGAACTTGGACTATCAATCCGTATCAAATAACATGGGACTTTACCCTGTAGTTTGGTATATTCTACTTCTTTTTGGCTCTTCTTTAGAAATTTTGTTTTATTAAAACCATCCACTAATTTTAACAAAACTATTGGGGTGTGACATAGAATTGAAATTTTGAAAATGAAATAGGTAGAATTTAAAAATAATTTAATTTTTTTTTTTTTTTTGAAGAATAATAATACTTGCACCAATTTGTTGTACCGAATGTTTCTAATAAGTTATTTATGTATAGTACATGTAGGTGGAAGGTCTCACTTTTTTATTTATACCATTTATTGTAATAAATTGTAGACCTATTTCTTTTAATTAGTCTATATATACACAAATAAATAAGTGAAGCCCGAGAAAAATATTTCAAATACTTCTACCGATTTATTACACAGATATGTTAAATGTTTTTGATTAATTATTTATACTAAGTGAATTATTTGAGAAAAATATTTCAAATACTTGTACCGATTTATTACACAGATATGTTAAATGTTTTTGATTAATTGTTTATACTAAGTGAATTTAACATATCTGTGTAATAAATCGGTACAAGTATTTGAAATATTTTTCTCAAATTTTAAGGTTTCCGATCATGATAAGTAATCTAATAGTCATATGCATACGTGTAACGTGTACAATTGGGTGATTAATAATAAAATATTTCCATGTCTTTTGCCACTTCTTGGTTTGTTGTTTGTGCAATAAAAGTAGCTATCCCCAAATTAAGACAAAAGTAGAAGTAGGTGTGATACGTAAGAGAAGTTGTCTGGAATTAGCGCTTTTTCCTCTTTTAGGCAGCTCTATAAATTTTCTGTCCTGGCCAATTCCCAGGATCATTTGGGGGGACCGCAGACTTTTCTGTGTCTTTAGAATTACTCTGTTTCTCTCTCTAAAAAGGATCTAGGGTTTTCAACTGTGGGAATACACTTGTTTCTCAAACTACCTGGTAAGAACCTTCATCGTTTCCTCAACTCACTCCAGTCAAAATTCTACTAATGATTTCAAAAGCAGAGTTTTTTCTTAATTACTACTTCTTAGCTTGTAGAGCTGAATTTGCTTGCTTACGTAGTTTGTTCATTGTTTCTTTTTTTGGTATGTGTAGTTGAATTTCTTGTTGAAATGGGTCGATGACTCATGGTGCCTGTTCAGTGTTGGAAGAATTTCTTTATATGTTTGGTTTTGGGAAAACTGACAAAAGAAAACAAAAAACCAAAATTTGAAGTTTCCTGTTGTTTTGGTGTAAAAAATGAAACAATTTTAAAGTCAACTACCCTTAATTGTTGTGTAGTCTAGGTCAGCGAATGGGTTTTGGATCACTTGAAATAAAAATTGGGTTGCTAGGAAATTCTTATTATGCACTAACTCTGCAGAATTTAATCTCGTCTTATGATCCATGCTATTGATTTAGACGATATTGATTATTTTCTATATATACCTAGAAGATACTAGATACGATTGCAAGTATTGGAATGTAGAGGTCAAAATTTTCTGTGTCTAAATTTGTAATTATTTTGTTAGAAACTACCGATAATATTCATTATAACTTAATGGAAATTAAGAACAGTACATTTAGGTTCTACTAAGAAAATTTGATGTACTTATAAGTAAAGGTTAGTTGTAGAATAAGCAGTTTTTTAATTATAGGGACGACCAAGTTGTTGGTCAAAGGAAGAAAAGATATCGAATCATCACATCCAATACAATGGGGTTCTAGTGCACACCCAATTCATAAAATATGAATTATGATACAAGAAAATTTTGTTGCTGTGAAGTGTAGAGCAGACCTCAGAAAAATATTTTCTAAAACTTTCATTTTCCTCTGAAAATTAAAATTAGTTGTAACCATAAAGACTTTTGGGAAAACATACTTTAAGCTATCTAACGTATTTAATTTTCATAAAAGCTTAAAGCTGGAAGAGAAATTTAGAAGAAGATTTGTCTGGGCGCTACGATTAGTTTGTGGATCCACAAACCCAATAAACATCTTCAAGAAGGCCAAACAAACAAGAGAATCAAGTTTTTGGCAGCTCTTGATAGTACGGCAGTAACATCTAAATGTGCTAATGTCGTAGCGATTCCCAGGGTCTCTAGTCTAAAATCAAAATTACTTTTCTCCCCATCTGTGGGGATTTGGTATATCAGGGAAGCACAATTTTATATCTTAGAATTACCTGTTTATATATTAAGTAATTTTTCTTATTAAAGTATAGGTCCTCATTTGGAAGTTTAGTTTTACATGCAAGTTGCATTTGTAGCTGTTGTTTTTAATGTTTGAGTAGAGTGTAATCGTTTATTATTGGACTACTAACTTCTACTTATATGAGTACTGACGTAATTTTCTATTTTGATAATTGATAGTCATTGAAGTTGCATTGCTCTCTTGTGTTTTCCTTGGTGGGTGATCTTAACTTCAGGAATGGCGAAATTCATTTCTCACCTATAGGTAGCCTCTGAGCAAAATTCCTTAATGAGAATTGATAGTATCCAATGTTTACCCTATTTTTGTACTTTCACTTGCAGTTACTCAGAACCATTTCCACTTTTCTTTGAGCCTCTTAGTCACATTTCAGAACTATTTCCAATTTTCTTCCATTTTGCCAGCAATGATTTATTTACTAAATGCAATATGTTTCATGGATGGATATGTATATTACCAGGAAATTTCAGCAAACTGGTATATTTATGTCATTTTTAATGTTCACAAGTAAGTTGTAACCTTAGTTGGCATAGGTTTTTGGGCTATACTAGTAAATGTTGTTGAGGTATTAGATAGTGCCTGTCTCATGATATTGTGCCTTAATTGGCCAACTTCACCTAGGTAGCATATGATCTTCTAACTGTCCTGCTTTTCCAAATTTATTTTTTATTTTGTACTGTATCGGATCTGATCATTTTGTATAATATTTGTTACCTAAACCATGAAATACTCTTTACTGGTTCTTTCTCCATGTCTGTTATGTGCATGTACTTAGCAGACTGATTATCTAGATTTGAAGGTCACAAATACGACATGCACATGCATTTTTGACTTTTGAATAATAATTGAATTGTGTCGATGGTTTCATTTTTGGTGCTCTATTTTTCTTTTATCCTGGAAGTTCTCAGGTCAGATCTGACGGTTTAAGCCTGAGGTGCTGTTTTGTCTCATGTCACATGGACATAGCTGCGGTTTTGTTGTAGTTTACGCCTGGTGTATTTGTGATTTTGAACTTGGATATAGTCTCTTTCTGCTCAGCAAATAAAAAGAAAAGGAGAGGAGAGGTATTAATTAAGTACATTATTTCTCTTTATTCTTTTTGACAAGTTATATTTACTAATTTGGAGGTAAAGATAAACATAAATTCCCCTTACTTTGGAAGATTTTTTAATTTTTGTAGTTGTGAGATTATTTCTGAGACAACCCAACTTTGTTAGTAATCATTGTAATCGCTTTATATGCTCTAATTTGGGGGTTCATTGAGCTGTTTAGTCATTAGTGCTGCTATTTGTAGGATTGATTAATCTGTATAGGCATTAGTGCTACCATTTATATAATGTTCTGTTGATAATAATTTCTTTTATGTTGTTTTCTTCGCTATTATTTCATATAACTTGTCCTGTCATTCTTGCGCTTCATATTGACAAATTGGAAAATGGATGATGGCTCTGCCACTTTTCAGGAAAATGTATGAAATTTGCTGTTAATACGACAGAAGGGGCAAATTGCTCTTCTAGTAAGATGGCAACTGAAAGCCCCATTAGAATAATCGAAACAAGTGGAAAGTGGTTGCCCCATAAGGAGGCTGCAATGTTTGGAAGATCCTCATCCAACATGGACACGGAGGAGTTGGGTTCAAAGGGCGAAAGATTTCTAGGCAATGGGAGGGATGTTGTACCTAATCGAAGTGAAAGTGCACCCCCAAGTGTCGAAGGTTCATTTGCGGCTATTGAAAACCTTATGTCCCTGAGGGACTCTAGCTTGAACCCTAGATTTGGCAGCTTTGTGTCCGAACAATTTCGTGCTGATCCAGCTTATTTGCCATATCACTGTTCCAATGTCACTTTGAACCCTAGACTCCCTCCACCTCCTACCTCATTGGAGAATCGGCGTTTGGTTCATCATATTGGTAATTGGAATTTGACATCTGTTGATGACTCAGACAATGGATCCTTGCCCCTGTCTCAGAGTAACCTTCCTACTCATGAGGAAGAGTTTGATGATCGTAGGTCGACTCAACAGGCTTATGATGACTGTGCGGATAGGAGTAGTGGGTTTTGTACTGGACATGATGCAGCTTTGTCAGGCAAACGTAAAAGTTCAGTTGATTGGTTACAGGTAAAGTATGTTTCTTGTTGAAGAATTAATGAAGGTGACTTTGATGTTGTTTGACATAAAAAAAAGTAAAATAGCTCTGGGAACTTTCGTGCTAAATTAGTAGTACTGAAAACTTTAAGCAGCTGATTTTGAACTGAAATCTAAAGGCAAATTTGTCATTTCATATTAATGAAAGAATCACTGAAAGTTCTCAGTTTTCAGCGCTTTACAGGCTTATCAAACAGTTCTCTTTGTATCTAGTTTTTTAAATTACTGAACATGTGTTTTCAATTATTGCATTTTGATGTATCTTGAATGTTTGTTTCTCCATGAAGTAGTCAATTTCCCGTTTGCTACTTTCAAAAATAAAAAGACAACATTTTTAAAAAAGAAAGGACTAGCCCAGTGCACAAAGCTCCCGCCATTGCATGGTCTGGGGAAGGTCAAATGTACACAGCCTTAGCTCTGCATGCAAAGAGAATGCTTGCTGTTTCGAACCCGTGACCTCTAGGTCACAATGGAGCAACGTTACTATTCCGACATGGCCCACCCTTTTTAAGGAGTTTTTTTTCCCCCCCTCACAGATAACAATTTTCATTGAGACCATGAGGCAAACTCATAGTTGATTGATATAATCAGTAGTTGATTGTTCCTTTATTTCATCTTTTTGTATAATTGTAATGGGAAGTATATTACCTTGCAGAAAGACGATACCCATACTTCACCACCTGTATATAATCAGCCTGGTTCATTTAGCCATGGATTAGTAGAGGAAGCAGTTTATTGTGATTCTGATACCAGTTCCTTGCATAACCACTCTGTTGGCAAAGCAAATACCATTAAATTTACTCCCAGTGCAGATAATATGGGGTTATCATCGAATGTTAATTATCCAACTGCCCCTGTTTCAAGCTCACCATCTCTTGACAATACTGAGGATACGCCAGTTATGCCACCCCTTTACATAAGACATTCAAACACTATAGATGTTCATTTGGAGGATGAGGTCTCAATTAGTGGTGTTTCTGATTCAGATGTCACTCGTATTGAATCTGAAATGAAGGCTATTAATGTATCTGGCCTGCCAAATCCAGAGTGTCACAAACATCAAAAGGACCAGAGACATGACCGTCAAAATAATGTGCTGCAACAGCCGGCACGCCAACAACAAAGCCATACATTTGAAGTTCAAGGTGGCATGTCTAATATATTTTCTCAAGGAGCGAACCCCACATACATTGGCACAAATCAGTTAATTCACGGTCCATCAAACTTTTCATCAGCAGAGGCACAGCCAATACTCCAGTCTTCTGGATTATCACCTTCCCTCTATGCCGCTGCAGCATCCTATATGACTTCATTGAATCCAATTTACCCTAATCTGCAGCCATCGGGATACTTTTCTCCACAATACAATGTGGGTGGATATGTTCTAAATACCACAGCTCTTCCACCATTTGTAGCTGGATACGGTCCTCACAGTGCTAATATTCCTGTGCCTTTTGATGGTGCTGCCGGTCTGGGATTTAGTGCTCGAACTTTTGGGATTTCTTCCAGGGGAAGTGCTGCAGATGGAGTTGATGTACAAGATTTAAACAAGTTCTATGGACAACTAGGATTCGCCATGCAACCTTCTTTCACTGATCCTCTTCATTTACAATACTTTCAACAACCTTTCAGGGATGCCTATGGTGTTTCTAGTCAGTTTGATCCCTTGGTATCCAGAGATATGGTTATGGGGAACCAGGTTAGTAATTTTGACTTGCAGAGAGGGGCGGACCTTACTGCTTGCTCCGTCGATCAGAAACTGCAACATCAGGGAAGTGGAGGCCCAAGTAATCTGAATCCAAGACGAGGTGGAATTATAAGTCCTTATTACTTTGGGAGCCCTAAAAGTACTGGTCCTTTTATGCAATACCCTATATCGCCTGTTGCTAGTCCAGTTTTGCCAGGATCCCCAGTAGGTGGGACCAATTTTCCTGGAGGAAGAAATGAAGTGAGGTTTCCCCCAGTTTCTGGTAGAAACGCAGGCATATATTCTGGATGGCAAGGTCAAGGAGGATTTGAGATTTTTGATGATACCAGAACTCATTCTTTTCTTGAAGAGTTGAGATCCGGTAAAGGCCGAAAATTTGAGCTAATTGATATTGCAGGACATATTATTGAATTCAGGCGAGTTCTAACTGAGCTCAATTTTCTTTTCATCTATGTTCATTGTATTATTTTGTGAAAATAACTCTTTTTGAGTTTTGAACTTCAGTGCTGATCAACACGGGAGTCGATTCATTCAACAGAAGTTGGAAAACTGTAGCGTTGAGGAGAAGGCATCTGTTTTTAAGGAAGTTCTCCCACATGCTTCAAAACTAATGACTGATGTTTTTGGTAACTATGTTATTCAAAAGGTACCTAACTGAAATTTACAGCTTTGTTGGGTAAAAATTTCCTACCCTTCTTGCGGGTTCTCTTAGTTGCATTCTTTTCTTTTTCCTTGTCTTTGGTGAGCTACAGTTTTTTGAGTATGGGAGCCCTGAGCAGAGGAAGGAGCTTGCGAATAAACTTGAAGGTCAGATTTTGCCGTTAAGTTTGCAGATGTATGGCTGTCGTGTAATCCAAAAGGTAAGTATGATTCTTGTGGTGTATCAGTGCTCTCCTTATTTTTATCTTATTAAAAAGCAAAGCAAACGTTTGTTAAAGCGAAGGGAGATCTAGCTGGGGGAAGTAATTCATTAACAGATGGTGAATAAACAGATGACAGGACAAGACCCATATTCTATTCCTCCAATTGATTACCTTAATGTGTCTCCCTTGCACTCCTGAATTCACTCTGGAACTACCTGGAGCTAAAGAAATGGACAGACGCTTTGTGCTTGTCACTTACTGTAAAGGAGGCACAACCTATATATAGAGGATGTATACTAAATGAATATCTACTCCAACACAAAAATCCACTAACTATATCCATATATTAAAAATATGGAGTTTATTCATCCAGTCATCTATCAAAACAGATAACCAACAAGTTACTCATCAATTAAAACAGGGGCTCCTCCTCGCATTCAAAAGATCTCCCGTTCCTCTCTCTCCAAATGAACCACATCAAACAGATGACTGCTGCAAGCCATTCTTCCTACTCTTTTCTATTCGACCTTCTTCCCAGCTGGCTCACACTTTGGCCAAAGATCTAGCTAACACTTGCACCATCCCTAACAAGTTCAGCAACAGTGGGCACACTTCCCAAGCAAAATTGCTATGCAGGAGCAAATGGCCCGCCAACTGCACCCCTTTCGGAATACACTTGCTCCTCTTCACAAAGCTGTCAGTGGTAAGGTGGTTGTCATGCGCCACCGTCCACACAAGAAAATAGAGCCACCTAAGGTGACTTTTTCGTTTACCACACCCATTTCTTGAAAAGACTTATTTGAATCTCCCATGAGCACTCTGTAGTATGTATTAACATCAAACTGCCCTGTCGTTGAAGCACACCATCTCACCTCATCTACCCCTCCCCACAGTCAATCACCGTGAAGCACATAATGTTCCATCTCAAAATTTCAAAATTTCTTGTATAGTGTTAACTCTTGAATCGGTTTGACTAAAAGTGAGGAGTTGGAGCTTGGAAGGTTAGGTAACTTCCCATTTGGCTGATACCATGTGGCATTTAGAATTATGTTGCTTTTCTTTATCAATATAATTTTTTTTCCTTATTTGTAGTTTAAAATTCATAATTTTTTCTACTTGTGCATGTCTTTAGTTTCCTTTACTTTTCCTTCCTTAGAACAAAGAGCATCTCCCTAAAAATTTCTCATGTGTGAAATAACATTTATATGTAAATGATATGTGCATTCTCTTTGTAAACCGTTTTTGTTTTGTTCTTTCTTTTTTTTTTTCCTTTTTTCTTTTTTTTTTTTAATAAAAAAAAGAATAGGATTTGATCTATACGTACATATGGAAATGTTTAAAGGTTACTATTTGGCAGTTTTTTTAAAAGTGTGGAATGGTAGTTGTTGGAGAATATCAATATAGGAGTGATTAAAGCCCTTAAATCACTCCTTGACAGAAAATTGATACGAGTGAATCATGGGAGTGATTTTAGGAATCTTTCCTATATCATATTTATCACATGTTACATGTTTATATTCTTTCACCTATAAATAGAGGCGATTGTTGTATACAAAAATTAAGAGATAATATAATATAAGTGATGTAGCCCTTTGGGCTTTGTGTGTTGTGGACGTAGGGCGTAGTGGCCGAACCACGTTATAACCTTGTGTTCTTCATGTGTATTCTCATGTTTAATTTCTCTCTTCAATTTTTATATCTTTCAACATGGTATCAAAGAAGGTTTATCATACCCTCCTCTATACTCTACTCGTCTTGGATCTTCAGATCAATTCGTATCGGATCTTAGGATCAACTTGTCTCAGATCTACTTGTTTCGGACTCTCCACAACTTCTCCAACAGTAGTGATTAATGGTTTATCGAGAGCAGAAATGCCCCTTATCCTGGAATTTGGATTCTCTGAGTGCTTCTTGTGCACCCCCCTCCAGGCTCTTTGTGTATATAAATTGTCAGCTACTCGTATGTAGTATAACCACATTATTCTTGCATTATTTAACATGTGCTGTGTGTGACTGCTTGTATGTGGACTTCCCTTACGAGTATTTATTTTCTTTGTAATTTTATCTTTTCATTTATTCTTACTCGTCTTTATCTTTGGGAACGTGTTTGGTCTAGAATTTATGATCGTAGTTAGACCAGCATTACGACATCGTGTATCAGGTCATTAAGTTGTGAGCAACCATGAACCTTCTAAGTTAAGGCCTGACTTGTTGGCCCTCGCTACAAGGAGAGAACTGAGTTATGGTTCTGTTTCAAATGTAGCATTCTGGATACTCGTTGACTATAATTGACTCTAGCCATTTGTTGGTGCTTGATATATAATATCAGAATCATCATTGTAGGATCCTAGGAGGAGTGAACTATAATGTTGAACAGCTGCTCCAGCATATTGTTGCATTTGGTGTACTTGTGGATATTTGGCATATTGTCATATAATTTAAAAATATAATTCTTTTTCTTGAATCCAAGCGGAAAATATATAGTTGAGGTGGGATATTAAATGGATAATATCATTGATGTCTTGTCAGGATATAATATATACATATATATATACACACAAGAAATGAAACATGATAACTAAATATTTGGTGTAGGCACTTGAGGTGATTGAGCCGGAGCAGAAAACAAAGCTTGTCCGGGAGCTGGATGGACATGTTACAAGATGCGTACGTGATCAAAATGGAAACCATGTAATACAGAAGTGCATTGAGAGCATTCCAACAGATAAAATTGGATTTATAATTTCTGCTTTTCGTGGTCACGTTGCTACACTTTCAACACATCCTTACGGTTGCCGTGTCATACAGGTAATATAATACAGTTGAGTGGTGGAGTCCAATTCTTCTTCCCTTTTTCCCCTTCAGTCTCTGTTTTCCATTGATGACACTGAAGCAACTTTTCAATTTTGGTTTACAATAGAGAGTACTAGAGCATTGTGCGGACCAGTTACAAAGTCAGTTTATAGTGGATGAGATATTGGAGTCTGTCTGTGATCTTGCCCAGGACCAGTATGGCAATTACGTCACACAGGTTTGTTCCTTTTTTAAAAATAAACATTTTTATCTTCTATTTTATGGCTCTCAAGTTATAATCCTTTGCGTAACGTGATCTTTTAAAATGTAAAAAAAAGTGGCAGTGTATGCTCATTGTAAAGGAGAATAAGAAGAAAAATATCAGAATTCAAATTGAGCTTCAATATGTCATTGAAGATTACACTACTCCATCTATCCCCCTGAAAATCTGTTTTATTGATTGGTATAAATCTCATTTGTGTGCGAAGCCTGTTCCATAATGAAAAAGTAATGAAACAGCTGTGTTACAAGTCCCCCAAAAAAAATGTCAGAAGAAGAATCTCTTAAAAGGAGCTCATGATTTGCCCTCACCATTTCAACATATTTACACACACAATCCGCATGCAATGTAGTATATGTTTATGCATGTGTATGTATAGATTGATGTATACGCATGTATAGTTTGCCTATATATGCAAGCGTATACAAATTTAAATTATCTATACATGCAATTTTTATACACCTATAATCCCATTTGTACCCATCTACACATATATGTATATATATGCTCCTATACAGTATACACAGTTTTATTTCTACATATACTCCTGTATACGTGCCTGTCTGCAAATATGTGACATATAGGCCTACATATGCATGTATTCCTATACACACACCTAAATATACATATATGTGCCTATGCATGTTTATATTAACATTTTTACGTACCTATAAATGCCTTCATATGCACCTATCCACACCCGTGTTGCCAATATACCTATATATGCATTCCAATATACTCTTTTTCACATGCATATATGTATCTCAATGTTTTAAATAACAGTGATGACGGCCTAATAGTCATTGTGATATTTTTAGGATCTATTTATAATTGAACTTTACAAATGAGTTTGTATGATGTAGAAATGAAACTAGTTTAAATAGTTATGTATGGATGTCTTCCAATGAGTCATATACTAATTATTTTTAATTTATATACATTAAATTCCCTTACAGTTACCAATCAGTAGTTATATTTACAAGATTTGATTTCTCTTGCCTTTAAACTATCTCATCTCCCTCACAATTCTTAAAACAAGAATCCATCTTGCCCCTTTCTAATGGCCTCTGGTACAATTGATACCACTTCCCACTGCCCCAGCTAAAGCCAATCATGACTGTTCATCTCTGTCTCCTTTCTTAACCGTCAAGAGTGCAAGCATAACAAGATCAACCAACAATATTTGAAGATCTAACGTCAAACAACAAATTTAGATAGGATTTTAATATAAATAGAGTTATAAAAAGGTAATTTTCCTAAAACTTACTGACCATAGTGATCAAATGAATTGTTTCAGCTCCTGATTGAAGATCTAAGCTTAGATCTTTTGTACTATTGTTTTGGAGAGTGGATATGGTATTTAGGGTGTTCTCAGTTGGTTTACAAGCTGAAAGTGTGAAAGAAAGTTGCAAAAAAGTGGCAAATATTTTGGTATTAGGGTATTGTGGCAGTACTTATAAGTTGAAGTGGGCTATTACCGGGGGTGGAGGGAGAGAGAGAAACCGCGCCCGGTGGGGGGGGGGATGGGGGGGGGTTAATTTTTTTTTCATTTTATGGTTATTAAAGGTGGTTTGCAAAAGAAATAACTTGCGACCCCTTCAAAGACCACCCTGGCTATTACAGAGTTGTAGATCACCTGGAAGGCTATTGATGTTTATAGGAACCTGTTGGTTTGTTTTTGCCTTCCTATTCTAATTAGGTTTCTATTTTATTAGGTTTTTTTTTGTTGGCAAGTCTAGGCCTCTTAAGGAATTGTAATTTTTCTCCAACAAGGAATTGGGTTTGGGGCTCTATACATAGATTCTTAGGTTGTGGTCGAGACTTATGACTTGAGAGAGATGTAGTCTCATTAGGATTGGGTTTATGGGTAGAGGTGTAGTTACACATTGGGTAGAGTGAACATTGATATCGAGAGGGAGTCTCATGGAGAAGAACTTAGTCGAGAGTTTGTGTACGTGGTCTGGTTTTGGAAATTCTCTACTTTGTAATATTTCTACATGATTATAGGGAATCTCTTCTCATCCGCCTCATTTAATGGGGTACCTCAAAGCGGTGGGTAATGTATGTGGGTTCAAATCCCTCGCACACACTTCCAACACCTGTTCCACTTTTGGCGGACGTAGCCTTGATTTTGGATGAATCACGTAAATCTTGTGTTTTGTGTGTGATTGCTTTATTGCATTTGTTGGATCTCAATGTTTCTTCCGCTTCCACAACAATGCAAATGTTGGAAAGCTGATTTCGTGGCCCAAGGATACCACCATGTTCTCTTTTATTTTCTATTTCCATTTTTTTTAAATAGTTGGGTTTATATAATGCGTTGTCTTTGACTCTTTGTTCTATCTCATATTTCTTTTTAGAATGTACTCGGTTCTTCCAATTGTGAACCTAGATTTTATTTTCATTTCTAATTTTTAATTTTTCAAATGTAACATCCAGTTCCAATTTCTAGATGCTAATATGCCACTTGGTTGTACTGCTCACAGCATGTGTTGGAGAGGGGAAAGCTTAATGAAAGAAGCAAAATCATTAACAAGTTGTCAGGGCATATCGTACAAATGAGCCAACATAAATTTGCATCAAATGTTGTTGAGAAATGTTTGGAGTATGGTGATTCTACTTCAAAGGAAATTTTGATTGGGGAGATTATTGGGCAAAATGATGCAAATGATTGTTTGTTGGTAAGTCCTATTGAAAGCTGAACTTCAACTGTTGGTTTATAGTTACTGAGAACGCACTGCCTAAAGAAAAGAAATTGATAGTTGATCATGTGTTCCTGTCTGATCTATTAATGTTTTCAAAGTATTTTCTACAAGCTTTCTCAATATAAATAGCCTTTAATTATCTCATCTGGTTTCAATCTGTCCATTTTCCGTGAGTTATTTGTGTTCTTGTAAAAGATCTGTTTTATAGATCACTATAAGAAAAAATAATTTTTAAAGGGTTGAAAGATGTTTAAGTTCAATAGCATGGTAGCCATTTTTTTTTTTTTTTTTGATCTTTTTATTTTTGGATTAGTATATGTTAATGATGAGTGTTATCAAAATATTTACATTTTTTTTTCCTGGTAAGTACCACTCCATCAGAAGTTATTCTTTGTTTTAGTCGTGTGTACACTCTTGCCAGCCAAAAACCAAAAACATAATTGAGAGGGCAAGGACCCCTGTAAACTGCATATACTAACCGGTTGTTTTTTTTGGGCATATTTATTTGATACTTCCATATTTGATGTTGCGTGAGTGAATGCATGGGTCTGTTTTGCATCTGGTAAGACTTGCTAAGCTCTCACAGTTTATATATTTTATTTCATTTTTTTCTTTTGTCCTAGGCAATGATGAAGGACCAATATGCAAATTATGTGATCCAGAAGATTCTCAAAACATGTACTGATAATCAGCGGGAAATGTTGCTTAGTCGTATAAGTCTTCATCTTAATGCTTTGAAGAAATACACTTACGGAAAACATATTGCTGCTCGGTTTGAACAGCTATATGGAGAAGGTGTGTTCTCTGCTATATTCACAATACTGTCATGCATACATGTCCGGTATTGCTGGTGTCACCTTTCTTTTTCTTTTTTCCCTTTTTTTACCATTTTTTCTTCTGGATATCTACAATGAGATGTTTGGCATTTATGGAGATATTCTTATCTCTGGCAGGATAAATAAATTTATCTTCTGTAATACAAAAAAAGTGTCTTCAGTATTTCAATCTCAAGTATACCTGGAGCATTAGCTAATACGCCTACATAGTTGTTGCTATTTTGTCTTATACGCAGTTTTTGAATGGTCAACTACAATTTTTAAGAGGAACCTCTTCTTGTATCTTGAAACTTATTTTTTTACTAGTTTTAAATTGCTTAATTCTGAATACATGCAAAACTTATGTAAGCAATTAAGTGATGTGTTTTCAGTTTGCTTTGTAGTACTGCACCTCCACAGAAAAAGTTGGATTATTAATGCATCATCTTTAAATTATCATTTCCTAGATCATAGACTTGGTCCCGAGTATCCATGTTTTCAGATGCATTTAGTAATCATGCAAAACTGAGATTGTAACTTACAAAGAATGCTTCCACGGGCCAAGCCTCTTTAAGCTACGATAAGACCTCAATGGACTAGTTGCTTGGGCTTTTGATATAATAAGTCCTGAAGCAACTTCTTTCCTCGGAACTTTTTCTTCCTCTTTCAGTTTAGCCACAAGTCTGAGATTCAACAACCGAAATTGGACGACAAGATATACTCTTGTCATCAAAGGCCTCAAAAATAAGAGCATATAAAAAAAGGAAAAAAGAAAGACAATAGGGATCTGAGGATTTGTTTGAATTCTCAAGGGGGAAAATTAAAAATAAGAGAAGAAAAGATAATGATAAACTAGGAGTCTAGGAGAATAAAAAGGCTCAGGTTGGACGAGTGGCAAATGCTATCCGGCTGGAAACGATGGAAGTCATGAAAGCTTAGGACAACATCAGAACTATTCAATCTGGTACCAGAAATATTAAAGTTTGGTCTTTCTTTGAAATGCTTTGATGATCACTATATAAATACCCTTATATGGGTTTATACAGTATACCACCTAAGAAAAGATGAAAAGTAGATATAAAATCTTCTCATTTGCTTGGAGGCATGGTCTTTGTGGCTGTAGCCATGTTCTAATTCCATTGACGTCCTGTGTAGTGGCAATAATCCCTTGCCCTATTTGACTGTATTGTCACATTGTCATCATTTCTGGATGCATCTGGATGCAATGATGCAGCACTTGCTATTATCCGCCAATATTATGGGAGTTAAAGTTAAAATATATACATACTATTTATATATATATCAGTGCATTAAGGGATGGTGATGGAATGTGATTCTGGCGGCAAGTTGTGAATGAAACATAAGTTCAGTTCAGTGTGGTTCAGTGATGATTTGTGTCTGCTTAGAAATTTCGTAATCCAATGTCTCTCTAAATGATTTGCTGTTTGTTCTTATGCAGAAATCCAAACACCTGGATCATAATGCCAGTACCGAGGTGTCCTGCCAGCACAGCTATAGTTTGTGAAGGCATTTCATTGAAGAATCATATGGTGCAATGCAGGCACTTACAAGCCTGTTTTCAAGGCAGCTCTGACAAATTTGTCTACTTTGGAGCTTCTGCCATGAGGAGCTTCTATCATGGTAATTCGGTTGATATTGTAAATTCAGTAAATATGAATAGGATAGGATTAAGTTAAACCGCATAATAATTTTCTTTGAAGTTTGTTTTTTGTCAATCCAACTGTATACTTTAATCATGTTTGTCATGCATGTCAAATATCAAGTTAATCGGACGGTTCGATCCATGAACTGATATTTACCTTCATAATATATTAGAATAAAATTCTAATTTAAAAGTGTATATTGACCAGCCATCTGTAGTTCTCCGATTAATTTGATTTTTGGCATTGTGTGATAAATATGAGAGGGGACTTCCAATCCAACAATTGGGTTGTCAACAGATGAATCTTACATAAAGTTATGATTGGTGTAAGTTATGATTGGTGTAAATGGGTTCTCTCTGTATGTACGATATACTTCTAGACAATCTACATGTAACTTTTTATGTATAAAAGCACTGTTTTTTTTTAGAGAATTAGAGATCTTTGTTGATGCTGTGAAACTATTTACCGGATTCTTTCTTGTGGCTTTTAAAATGTATTGGAATTCATTCAATATTTTCGTCTACAATTGCATATTGAAACTAAAAGGATCTCATAAGCAAGTCCTTTGTAGTTTCATCTACAATTGTAGAGTGAACTGGAGGGTATTAATAAGGCAGTCCTGTGTCTCTGTGTATGTGTGTGTGATTTCTCACACATTCGTAAGCTTGTTTTGTCACTGAGTAATCTTTTCCGGTGACTATCAATACTGGAGCCCTATGAACTTTCTGCTGTTGGTGAAGAGCAAGGAGAATTATTGGTGCTTTTGACGTCACCTATGCAGCAGTCAGTGTTCCTCTCTCCTCGATAGAACTATGTGTATTTTTCCATGGTTCATCTTTGGTGCTTGCTCAGACTTCAGTGTTCCTCTTTCTTTGATAGAAATGCTACATTAGAGACTGAATGGTAACAATTTATATGATTTGGTATTATTGTTGAGTCTTAATTATAATGACTTCCATTTTTCAATTTTTGGAACTACACTGAAGTACTTTGACAAGGAACAAACATGAAATATATTTAATTCTAACTAGTTTTATTAATTACTTCTCTCTCTCCTGTTGCTTGCTCAACTATGTAAAGTTTCTAAATTTTGATCCCCGAGTACATTTGTTCTTTGAAATTTCTAAAACTCATCTTCCCATTTGGGAAGCATGCTTCCCCTTGTAATGAAAATAAGGGTTTAACAATATTTGACAATGAAAATAATTGTTTTAATGGGATCAAAAGAGCTCATGTGTCCAAAAAAAAATGAGGAGGAAGAAGAAGAGTTACAGCCCTCGTTAACATCATTTTAATATTTTAAAGAAGGGTGATATTTACACTCCTTTTTAATAAATGTTTCGAACTTGAATCTTTTAAGTTTTGGTAGGAAAAAATGAGAAAAGTTGGCCAATCGCCTAGTGGTATCAGTCTCTTACCTCTCAAAGGGAGGTTAGAGGGTTCAAGTATCAGAAGAGACGTGTGTGTGAGTACCAACTAGGGAAAAAAAAAAAAAATGAGAAGAGTTGTGCAAATATCACCTCCCAATATGGAGTTTAATTTTTTGGGATAGCATTTAGGAAACTTCTGTATGACTTTTAAAAGGATTCCTAAGTTGTAGTTATTGTCATTGTTGCAACATGCATGCCTTGAAGATGAGTTAGAATCACCTTGGCGTTCACACTCCTTTTTGATAAAAGTTACGAGCTTGAGAGTTCAAGTTATGCTAGGAACAAATGAGAAAGTTTGTGCGAATATCACCTCCCAACATGGTAAATTTTTGAACGTAGTGTTTAGAAAACTTTTGAAAGACTTTAAAGGAGTACTCCTAAGTTGTAGATATTGTCCTTGTTGCAATATGCATGCCTTGAAGATGAGTAAGAGCCATATGCATGCCTTGAAGATGAGTAAGAGCCATTTGTGGCGTTAATACTCCTTTTCATAAATGCTACGAGCTTAGAGTTCAAGTTCCGAAAGGTTGTGTGAATATCACCTTCTAACATGGTAATTAATTTTTTGAGTGGAGTGTTTACGAAACTTTTGAGGACTTCTAAGTTGTAAATAATGTCCTCGCTGCAACCATTTGTGGCACACTCCATTTGATAAATGCTACGAGCTTGAGAGTTCAAGTTCTAGTAAGAACAAATAAGAAATGTTGTGCGAGTATTGCCTTCCAACACGTTAGTTAATTTTTTAAGTGTAATGTTTACGAAACTTTTGAAGACTTCTAAGTTGTAGATAATGTCCTCGTTGCAACATGCATGCCTAGAAGATGAGTCGGAACCATTTGTGGGTTCCTCAAAAGTTCCAAGACCTTATCCCCATTGCATATCATATTCCATGCATCTATCCTCGTTGACATTGCAAATGCCACCACAGTCGACAACTTCCTCACAAGTTCAACACCAGTTCCATCCTCAAATTATTCTATTCCCACAACAATGCAAGAGCATTTTAACCAACTAATTATACCCTTTTTACTACTCCACTCTTGCATTAATGGGACCCCCATATCTTGATCTTGCCCTTTGAGAGGGATAACAGTCACTTTCCTATTTGGGATTTTTATTTATTTATTTATTTTAATTTTTTTGTGGAATTTGGTCACGTTGAGAATCTATGACAATGAGAATTGTTATTGTATCACCAATCTTTGCCTATATATATGTTGCGTGTGTGTGTGTGGATGTATAAACAATATTGAACAAGTAGTCATAAGTTAGAGGTGTGACAAATCCATATATTGGTGTTGTCAACTTTGTCTAGCAGTCTTGCATGAAGAGGCAGAGAGTGGATTGCAGCCGAGAATGATTTGTCGGTGAACGCTGCAATGCAGGCACCATTTGGTTCAGCGCACAACCGGCAAATTGTTCTCGGTTACCTTCGGCTCTTTGCTTTTCATGTAAGCCTCCGGAGACCTATGAAGAGGTGTTGTTCCATGCACAAGTAGTCATAAATTAGAGGTGTGACCAGTCCATATACTGATGTTAAATTTGTCTAGGAGTCTTGCATGAAGAGGCAGAGAGTGGATTGTAGCCGGGAATGATTTGCTGGTGACCGCTGCAATGCATGCAGCATTTGGTTCCGCACACAACCGGCAAATGGTTCTCGGCTACCTTTGGCTCTTTGCTTTTCATGTAAGCCTCCGGAGACCTATGAAGAAGTCTTGTTCCATGCATAAGTTGTTGTTTAGTACTATGCTGCAGACTGGAATTTGAGCAACAAAATTATACAAACACCAATACACCAATGGTTTCAAATGGGAAGTAAATTATACTCATGTAACCCTTTTCTTAATATTATTATTGTTTCCATAATCCATTAGTCCACCATTTCTACTATATATTTCACAGATGTCCTAACATTTTTCTCTTTGCCATTGTTGAAGACATTTTGACTGAAGACACGTTCCAGGAGTGAACGTGGGTACGAGAAAACAAAGCTCATGCATCTTTCAAGCAACTTTTGAAGTTGACAACATCTTTTGATCTAGAATTTTTTGTTTTTTCAGAATATAGGTTTATTTTTTTTCTTTTAGAAATATACTTTTGATGATCATTTTATTGTTAAAGATGTTTACATACGAGCATATGGCATACTCTGGATTACAACCATAAAGCACCCTTTTGATTGATAATTGTTCTAGAATTCAATCCCCTTTCCTTTGATATTTGACCTGCCAAGGATGTAATATAAAAATCTCTGGGTATGACCCATCAAATTGTCAATCACAAACCAAAAAACTAAAACCATCAATCAAATTCTATGCCCGTTATTGAAATGAGTCATAACTGCAAAAGAACACATAGTTCACATATCTTGGATCATCCTTGATGTTACATGCAAAACAAAATGTAGCCGGCAGCAAAACTGACAGTTGTTTTCTAGTGTATTATCCAATATTCCTTCTGGGCTTTCTAATACGAACTTAGACGATGTTTATATTTTGAATAATAATATGTGCATTTATCCTTGAACTCGATTTCACATAATGGGGCAAGTGAACTTCAACAAAATTTCCTGCAAGCTAACTGTCAATTTCGATGCATAAATTCATATTCAGAATTGATGAATCAGAGAACTTAAGATTTCACTATCAAGGCTTCAAATTTTCCACCCGGAATGAATAGCAGTGACTCCCCCAACAAGATTTTCATATTCAACATTCCGAAACCCAGCATCTGCAATCATCGAAGCAAATTTCTCCTGCAATCATAAATTATAGAGATTATTGAAGTACCCATACAAGAAAGGCACTAGCACAATAAAACCAAAATACACAACCAGGCATTAGGTCGTGTTATGCTCCATTGAGTAGTTTAAAAAACTACCAGTCAAGTTCTGCACCTCTAGGACTAGACTAATTGAATGTATTAGCGCAGTATTACATTAATTAGACGTATTAAGTAAGTAGGACAAAAGTGTTTGAGCAGCAACTTGGACTTGACAAAAACAATGTCAAAAAATCCATTTGTATTTATACCATAAGAGGTCAATAATGGAAGCATCTAATTACTAAGAAGACTAATAGAAAGTTGCTGGAGATGCAAGGGATCTGCATATAATTTCAATAGACATGAAGAAAGCCCATGATATGTTCCTACAGAAATAAGATATTGGCTTTTATAAAAGAAATGGGGAGCAAGTAGATCGACAAGGACATGTATGATGAAGTTGTAACTACAATACAAAAAAACTGAAAGAGAAACAAGTGAATTGTCACTAGAGGCTAACAAGACACCTTCAGTATGAGGTTCTGAACTGTATATTTTATCATAGTTATGAATAAATTAACAACACACCTTCGGTATGAGGTTCTACACAGTTTTCTTTACCCACCCCAAATATTTGAGATTAGGTTTTGTTAAGAAAAATATTGACACTCATATCTAGTTCCAAGAACGACTATATTTCTTGATGATCCTATTAAGCTGTCCTCGAATGAAATCTATATATATTTGAAATTATCACATTCTGCTTCAGAAATAAATAAATATTTCAAATTTGCACAAATCAAAGTTCATATACTTATCTTTTTTCTTTTTCCTTAATTGTTCATATGCTTATCTAATTATATGCTTATTTGATTTTCCTACTAGAATCTAATATGTGATGTGTAATCGAAGTTGCCAAGCATTATGACACTGCTCAACCCCACAGCAACTGAAGCACATGGATAATTCAGTAAAACTATGCGTGTGCACACACACACACAGACAGAGAGAGAGAGAGAGAGAGAGAGAGAGAGAGATTACACTTTTAGAAGTTCTACTGAAAAAGAGAAACCCCAACTAAGCGCAACGAATAATGATTACACTTTTAGAAGTTCCATTGAAAAAGAGAAACCCCAACTAAGCGCAGATTACACTTTTAGAAGTTCCATTGAAAAAGAGAAACCCCAACTACACGGATCGAATAAATGACCAATAGTTGCAACTACACGGATCGAATAAATGACCAACAGTTGCGTCCTACTGAAAAAGAGAAACCCCAACTAAGCGCACGAATAATTATTACACTTTTAGAAGTTCCATTGAAAAAAAAAGAAACCCCAACTACAAGGATCGAATAAATGACCAATAGTTGTGTTCTACTGAAAAAGTGAAACCCCAACTACGCGGATCAAATAATGCCAATAGTTGCGTTCTTTAGTTTCAACAATTGCTTGACAATTAAAGATTATATTTGTTTTTTTTTTCTATTTATTCTGACACAAACTTCAGATTGGATAAAGAATTTTTTCCTCTTCATTTCTATTTATTAACATTATATTATGTTTTTTCAGTTCCTGACATATATAATTGACATACACAATACAACTTTCTAGAGATGAACCCACCCCCTACATGAAAAAAAAAAAGAAAAAAAAAGGTGTCTCAAGGGATTAAGATAGTATTAACCTTTGTTTATCTTCTCAGCTGCCTAGGTACTACACAGACATTGAATAGGTTCTGGCAGGGCAGACAGCCCCATATGCCTAGACATCAGCAATAAGATTACTACTGAAATGCTGTTTATGGCAGAACTAACCTGAGGGGGAAAGCGGCGAATACTCTCAACTAAGTACTGATAAGATTCCCGATCACCTGTGACAAGCTCTCCTAGGGCTGGAATGACCGAAAATGAATAGTAATCGTAACTGCAAAAGAATAACCAAATATTATCGCTAAAGTATTTATAGAGCAAAAAAATATCCAGAAATAAAAGAAGATTTAATACACACAAGCATAAGCTATGCTCCAGTGTAAGTAAGCTAAGAACAGTAAACTGCAGAAACAAAAAATCTGCCTTCTATGTTTCATAAACATGGGAACCTGCAGGGAGGGTATTCGCATAAATTATTTCATATGGATGATAAACTTGAAGTTTGATAATTCCATACATTTTTAATATTAATTTTAGTCAGAGGTACTCACAACTGCTTAAAAACTGGAACTTCTACATGGCTCAGTTCGAGGCAGAGGAATCTTCCCCCCCGTTTAAGTACCCTGATAAACAAAGCAAGATCATGGATGTAGCCTACCAACAATTATTTGAGATCAACCAACCATCGTACAAACAGGAAAAAATAAAGTAATCACACAAATTAACCCAACGGACATGATAACAAAATTTAATGACATGATTCCTTTTTAGGTATTACATAGTGGCAGTCCAAGCAATGTTATTTCTTACAATCAAAAACATTACATCTCTTCAAATACATGAATTTACTTACTAATTCTCAATTTGTTTAGAAAATGAACACACTTATTTTGTGAAAATCGATGTGGCTTCCATTCTCAATAGTAACCAAATCTATTGCTTAAAGGTAGCAAACTTATACTAGATTTACACACTGTTTAGCTGAAAGGATCTGCCACCAGTGAGGATCTATCTTTTAGGGAGCTCCCATAGGATTAGCAACAATTTCTTCAAAAACGTATATGACAATGGAGGATTAGAGCAAATTTTCACCTGGCATTACATCTTAGGTTGCCTACCAGTACTCCATATGCAATTTTCTAGTCATTATATTCATTGTATACATACATACACACAAAATTTATATCTATATATAAACACTATCTATATATAGATATATCAACATTTAAATGTATCAATGCACACTCACATGCATTCATGATTTCATGCTATATTGTATAAAAAAACTTATATAAGTAGATGCTCTAAAGGTATTGTGAGCCTTGAGGCATATTGAAATTTAGATATTTAGGTGTGCACATTGCACATGCAGGCACATTCCAAGCTAGGAAATTTTCATAAATAGAAAAATCAACCCAAAACAATGATAACAATTGTCTTAAAGATAAAAAGCATGAATATAAAATCAGCTGGCTACAGAATCTTATAAGTCACAAGTAGACAATTCGTCGGTAGTTCCAACCTCTTCTAATCACAGCAAGACCGTGATATACACGCAGAGTCAAACAAACACCTAAAAGAGAAGGATGTGATACAATTCTAATATCACCTTCTTTTTTTCCTTTCTTTTTTTTTTTTGAAATTTCTGGAAGCATTTTTCTAAAGATGATGAAATTTGACATGTGATGTGATACAATTCTAATATCACCTTCTTTTTTTCTTTTCTTTTTTTTGAAATTTCTGGAAGCATTATTCTAAAGATGATGAAATTTGACATGTTTGAATGTTACTATATGTTAAAACCATCAATGTTTAAATTGACGTCTAAATAAATAGAACCAAATTGAAGGGAAAAAAATGTAAGTCATGGATATATACGGGAATATGAGAGTGATGCGCTAGTTCTGAGTACCGAGTTAACATATTGGTCACCTGCCTCTGCTCGTATATAAACTGTTAGAAATTATAAGCTGCAATTTACCAAAAAAAAAAAAAGAAGAAAGAAAACTTATAAGCTGCTAATACAACCAGGCCAAGGTGTAAGAATTACCTATAAGCTTCAGCAAGAACTTTTTCTATGTGAGTTACATTCCTAATCCCAAATGCAATTGTGTAACCATCCATCGAATCGTCATCAAAATGCAGAGCCTCTGCATCTCCCTCCACCCATACGAGGGATCTGTCTTCTCCAAGTCCTACATATGTCAGAAAACAACTCTTATTATTAAACAGAAACAGGATATATTGTCAAGCAAAAAATGGCTCTACAATTCTCAATCCCACTCCTCTACAAAAAAATGTGTCACTTGATGTCAAGTTCATTCCTCATATATTACCTCTCTCTTGGGCACGCTTTTTACCAACATTCAACATATTTGAGTTAATGTCACATACATATATACGGGTATCTTCATGTAAATTATCTTCGAGAACGTCATGCATGGCTCTTCGGTCGACACTGTTCATAGTCTCCAGAATCCTGAAAGCAACATCCCCTGAAAAAAATAGACATCATTTTTAATTCAAACTCATATATAGAACTCATATGGGTGTTCAAATCAAGTAATAAACAATGAAAAAGGTTTCTGCTGCACAAGTTTCACATTTAATCAACATAATATGAAGCATTTTAATATAGGAGTCGAGTTTTATTCATAAGATTACATGAGAATAAATAATATCTTTAAAATTTTCATCATTCATAATTTGCAGCTCAGAGCATTAATTACCTCTGAACTTCAAGAAAGCACCACATTCTAGTAATCATTACCAGGGATGGACCCAGAAATTAAAGTGGGGCGAGAGCAACATTAAAATTCTATAACATAAAATTCAGTAATATATAATACTAAAAAAAAAAAAATCAGTGGGGCAATTGCCCCCCCCCCCCCCCCCCCCCCCCCCAACTGACTATAGAATGGGTCCGTCCCCGATCATTACAAATTTTTTTTTTTTTTTTTAAATAAAATTTTATAAAAAACGCTCAAAAGGGGAGCGGATCCCAAGAAAATACAAAAGACCACAAAGGGCCTCAAGCCTTCGAGGCCAAAAAATCAACAATCTCCTCCAACGATCTATATGATCTCTCCTTGAAACCCAACAAAAAAGAATGGAAAGAGTCGAGAATTTAAGCACCGAAATCGACATCACCTTCCCTTCAAAATATCTCCTAATCCTTTCAAGCCAAATACACCACCACACACAAAGCGGCGTAGCCCTCCACGCATCCTGACTATGAGCCCCCATAGGGCAACCTCTCCACGCCTCAATCAACCCTCTAGCGGATCCAGGCATAACCCAAGAAAACCCAAATAAGCCAATCATCAAATCCCAGCACTCTCTAGCCAAAGAGCAATGAATGAAAAGGTGATCCACTATTTCCTCATCACGAACACACATATAACAACGAGTGACCACCACCTGGCTTCTCCTTCTCCAGTTATCCTGGGTTAAGATCCTTCCTAGAACCGAAGTCCACACAAAGAAAGCCACCTTGAGAGGAGCCTTAGAGCGCCAAACAAACTTCCAAGGAAAATGAACTCCAGGATCAATCGAGAGACAATTAAAGAAAGACCTCACCTCAAAACGCCCCTGAGAGTTTACAACCCAAGACCAACAATCCGAATCCTCCTCCACAATCCTCTAGCGATACAACAGCTCCAAGAAACGAACATCCTGAAACAAACGCCTGAATCAAACATCCCAAACCAGTCTCCCACTATCAAGATGATAACAGTTGACCACCATGGCCTGCCTATCCGAAGCAATCCTGTAAAGCTGAGGAAAAGCGAGAGCGAGAGGAACATCCCCACACCACACATCCTCCCAAAAACAAATCCTCCTCCCATCCCTGACTCGAAACCGAATGTGTTTGGAAAATTCATCGCAACCCTTCCGAATAAAATTCCAGACCCCCACCCCTCACTTCTAAAGAACTCCACCCTCCTCTCATCTCCCCAAAATGACAAGCCACAACCCTCCTCCAAATCCAATGTCTCTCTACACCAAACCTCCACAACCATTTCCCAAGGAGGGCCTTATTAAAAGGCACCAATCTACGGAGACCCAACCCACCATTCCGAATTGGCTTGCAACCCTGTTCCCATCGCACCAAATGAAACTTAAAACTCTTCACCTCTATCCCCCCACAAAAAATTACGCTGCAACCTCTCAATCCTCTCCGCAATTGAAGAGGGAATCTGAAAAAGAGAGATAAAATAAGTGGGAAGGCAAGAGAGATTGCTCTTAATCATAGTGACCTTGCCTCCTTTGGAAAGATACTACTTCTTCCAACCCGCCAACCTCCTCTCAAACCCATCCACCACTAGGTCCCAAACCCCCACACACCTCGAAGGAGCTCCCAGAGGCAAACCTAAGTAAGAAATGGGAAAGGAACCAGTACGACAACCAAAAATGTCAGCAAAAGCCTCAATCTCAAGGACCTCCCCAACCGGCACCAAAACACTTTTACCAACATTCACCTTAAGGCCGGAGACAACTTGGAACCAAATCAAAACACATCTCAAATATCTAATCTGGGACACATTCGCATCACAAAGAACTAAAGTGTTATCAGCAAACATCAAATGAGAGATCTCCAACTGAGAAACAGCATCCCTGCCCACCCGAAAGCCTCTCAAAAGACCCGACTCAGTAGCCCTTCTCATCAATCTACTAAGGGCCTCCATCACAAACAGAAACAAGAAGGGGGAGAGAGGATCCCCTTGTCTCAAGCCCCTTGAGCTAGAGAAAAAACTCGTAGGAGCACCATTCACAAGAATCGAAAAGCGAGCACTGGAAATACAAAAGTGCATCCATCTCCTCCACCTATCACCGAACCCCATCCTCTCCATCAGGTAAAGAAGGAAGCTCCAACTCACATGGTCATACGCCTTCTTAATGTCCAACTTACAAAGAACTCCAAGGACCCCACTACGCAACCTGGAATCCACACACTCACTTGCAATAAGGACTAAATCTAAAATCTGACGGCCTCCAACAAAAGTGTTTTGAGAGTCCGAAATGATGCCATCCAAAACTTTCCTCAACCTTGAAGCAAGCACCTTGGCAATCAACTTGTAGATACATCCCACCAAGCTAATAGGACGAACCCCCCCCCCCCCCCCCCTTCTTGGAATGAGAGCAATGAACATGGCATTCAAGCTCTCCTCAAAAGATCCCCGAGAATGGAAAGCATGAAAAGTGTCCATCACATCCCCTTTAACCACCTCCCAGCACTCCAGAAGAAATCTCATGGTAAATCATCTGGACCTGGGGCTTTATCCCCATTGCAACTCTCTTCAAAACAATCAGAACTTCCTCCTCAAAAAAAGGCAACTCCAAACCCGAACACTCTTCACTAGAAATAGAGTCAAACTGAATCCCTTCAAGCAAAGGTCTCCACCCAACAGTCTCTATGAACAACTTCTCAAAAAACTCTGAAAATTCCTTGCAGATCTCCTCCTCCCTACAATATATAACCCCCTCAACCCGAATCCTCCCTATATGATTGCCCCTTCTATGGGCATTGGCCAATCTGTGGAAAATTTTTGTGTTTCTATCGCCCTCCTTAAGCCACAAGGCACTAGATTTTTGCCTCCACGAGATCTCCTCCATGATTGCAATCTCAGTAAACTCGGCCTTACACTCCGCCCTATTAACCTTCAAAGAGTCCACCAAATCCCCTTGACCCTCCATCCAGTCGATAGCCGCAATCTCAACAAGAACCCGATTTTTTCTCCATTCCAGATTCCCGAAGACCTCTTTATTCCAAGTCTTAAGATTCTCATTTAAGAGACGCAATCTGCCTGCAAGCACATGACTAGGGGTGCCAACCACACCGTACCCCTCCCGCCAAAGTCGGACCCTCTCCAGAAAACCCTCAGCCCGCAACCACATATTCTCGAATCTGAACGGAGAACGTCTACTACGCAACCCGCCACAATCCAACATCAACGAAACATGGTCAGAGATAGGACAAGCCAAAGTAGCTTGAACAACATCAGAGAACCACTACTCCCACTCCCCCGACACAAGGAATCTATCGAGCCAAAAAAGAGTAAGGGGAGAGCGGCTATTAGACCAAGTAAACGGTCCTCCAACCAAAGGCAAATCGACCAGCCTAAACTCATCAATAAATTCCGAGAAGGCCTCCATGTCAGACGTCCACCTACCTCCCGTTGACCCCTCGAACGGAGAGTGAACAACATTGAAGTCCCCTCCAAGACACCAAGGCAAACACCATCGACTTCTAATCTCTCCCAACTCCTCCCAAAGCAAGTGGTGCTCACCGTCCTCCGAAGGACCATAAACACCAGAAAAGACCCAATGAACACCATCCTCCACCAAAGCAAGAATGCATGAAACGGAGAAGTGCCCAACCTAAGCATCCACTTTAGACACCCATTTGTTATCCCACATGATCAAGATGCCCCCAAGGAGCCATTAGCATCCAAAGCAATCCACTCCACAAATCTCCCACCCCAAAGACTTCACAATTATGTTTAACTTCACAAAAATATGATAACTGACCTATATGTTGTGCAAGATATATCTAAAAAAATTGAATCTTTAAATTACAGATGCATTAGGGCATTACTAGAACTACATATACATGTACATACAGGTTTATTTTTGATTGTTTTGGGGGTAGAGGAAAGTCAATATTGAATCCTAATTTACAACCTTGTATCATCCAAATGAAGTGAAACCACAAGTCTTCAATATAAAAAAGCTAATTTCTAAATAAATCTTATTGCAGCCCGTGCTACTTAATTATCTGTTTCACTCTAGTTGTTGATCCACAAACTTTAACATTTGAACTTCCTTAATGGAGTAGTTCATGAGTTGTATTGTTTCCCTGCTGCCCAAAAAAAAGTTTTAATCATTTTGTTCCAAGACTATGTTTTAGTTTCTCTTTCAAAGCACATAATGTATTGCCTGCGTCTCATCCACGCTAACCTAAGAATGACATTACATACAATTATTGAATAAAAAATAACTAACCAGTACCACCAGCCACATCAAGGTGCTTCATTCCAGGAAATGGGTTCAATTTGGAAACTAATCTGAAAAACAGTTACCAAATAATATGGATTGTAAAAAAACAAAGAGTAACGCATTGCAAATTAAAAAAAATTGCAAAGGTTCTTCACCATAAAAATAACCTCTCCTTCCATAATCTATGTAGTCCTCCACTCATCAGATCATTCATGAGGTCATAGTTTGAAGCAACACTGCTGAAGACGTTGCCAACCATTCGGCTTTTCTCTTCTTCAGGCACGTCTTTAAATCCTGAAAGAAATCGGAATGTCAACATATCATCCAAACTTGATGATGTGAAACAAACTGATACAATGTGGCACATCATAACCTACTTAGAAATAAAACATATAATAGGTTCAACACAGCCGATGAAAGTATGAGAAAGTTATAACCTACTCATATACAAAAAAAAAAACACACACACACACAGAGGGCAACAGAACACGGAGAGAAAGAGAGAGATGGATAGACATACCGAAGCTCGTAGCATGAGAATGCAACATAGAAGCAGGAGGAAACCTGGGCAATAGTTTACTCCTTAAATTCCGACTAATCATTCTCAGTGCCATAGGTGCGAATAAACCTGTTTGATTACCATTCAGTTCTCACAAAAGAGTTTGTATATATACGTGTGTGTGTGTGTGTGTGTATATTCTTTAATGGAACTTGTTCTATTTGAGAATATAAATCAGACAATTGAAACTGGAATGCTTTGCAGTTTCATAGCAGAGCAACATACGGGATTTTTAGATGATATACACAAACACCCAAATGCATTGTGATTGTTTTATTGGGACTTTACAGTTTGAGAAATGGAAGAAACCCTAAAATTGAAAGTGTCGGGGAAATTCATGCCCCGAAGAGATTAAATTTTTATTAAAAATAAATTCAAATGACAAAAGATAAAACTCAATCTAAAAATAAAAAACAAGTAGTGATTTCTGAACAGAAAAAGAGACAATACCTGAATCGGGGAGAGGGAGAAAGTTGCAAATCGGATATTTTTGTGAATCTTGATTCAGCGCATTTGCTTCGTATCAGTAGAAAATTTAATTTTTATAAGAAATTATTCAATATAAGTAGTACTTGTTCACTTTTCCTTCGTTTTCAATTAAACAGGGAAATTATGGTCGCCGCCAAAGGGGCAATTAATAGAAATGTGAAATGACTACTTTACCCCTGATCTCACAAATACACTAGCAAAAACCCAATATAGAGTTTATTCATCCAGTAAACCAGTTCTAGTGAACACGTCTGAGTTAAAAAAGTTGTGAAGGGCAGCTTGTGGACGCTAGACTTCTACAAATAAACGTGTATGGACTGATTAATTTAAGGTTAGATATATATGTCAATAAAATAGATCGAGTTCATGAATAACTCTTTTTATTTTTAATTAAAGTATGAACTTTTGAAAACAATAAGTCAAGCTTCAACTCAAGTTAAACCCAGGAATGAAAGGGACATATTTGAACATAATATTCACCATACTTGCAACTTGGGTTCGTTGTGCAATTTGATTGTTACATTTCCAATCATAAAATTATTTGTCAAAAATAGAGTTTAGTGTTTTTCTTATCCCTCATTTGTCAAAAATAGAGTTTAGGTCCATTTGGTTACCTTAGAAATTGATGATGAAAAGTGAAGGAAAAAGAAATTGAAGTAAAAGAAAAGAAAAAATTAAGTTTCTATCATGTATTTGGTTAACATGAAAATTTTTAAAGAAATTTGTGAGAAGAAAATATTGTTTCATTAGTTTGGATAGTAAGAGAATGAAAATAAAATAATTTTATATGTCAAAAATATCCTTATGAATTCAATTGTAAGTAATATACACTATGGAATAAGTATATTAAAAAAATAGTAATAAAATAACAAATACAGTTGGTTTATGAATAATAAATATATATATATATATGTGCGGGTGTATATATATGTGTGTGTGTGTATATATAAATTTTTGATAATTAGTTGTTTCGTGTGGTTCCTTTTTGCTGTGTTGTTGTTTTGGGGAGTTTGCATTATATTATGCTATTAGATTAGTCTACCTTTTTTTTTTTTTTCCCCCCAAGTATAGTGAAGAATTTTAACTTGAAGAGTCATAGTTATAGTCTAATTAGGAGTCTTAATTTGTGAAAGAAATTATTATTTCATGAGTATAAGAAAAACAAAAAGAAAAAACGGATATGGGTATAACAGAAAATTAACATATAATGTCGTGTATTTTATAGAAAAAAACATTTTAAGGAAAATAAAGTAATTGCAGGAATATTACTTCCTTGAAAATATTTATTTTCCCACTAACAAAACTATAAAAGTTTTTAAAATTTTCCTTTCAGGCTAATTCACGTTAACCAAATCAATACTGCCTTCTTCTTTTTATCTTTTTCTTTTATACTTAGTGTGAATTGCAAAATATTCTTGCAAATGGAAATTAAAAGAAACCAAAAAAAAAAAGGGGTCATTACCTTATTCGCAAAATGGTTGTCCCGTGACTAAAAACACAATGATACTGAGTCTGAAAAATGATTGGTGCTATGTGGACAAAAGAAATATTTTTATTTATTTGAAGGAAGGATATAGTTACCCCATTTTGGGTACGGTATCCCTATAATTTCTACTTGGGAAAGGAACACTAAAATAAAAACTTGGAAGCTAATCTCATTTTGCAGATTGGAAACATTTTGTGTTTTGTTTGGGCTTCTCGTTGTCCTAATCTAGCCACATGTGAGGAGGGGGGATTCCGAGTGAGACAGTTGGGCCCACTTAGTTAACTTCTCTCTGTCACATAGATCTTGTGTCTTTTTCCCTGTGTGTAGTCTTTTGCAAAAGAAGAATAAATATATACGAAAATAAGTAGATTTAGGATTGGGAAAGTGGATGAGGAGGGCATGTGGGTAGATTAGCAATTTATAGTTTTTTTTCCTAAATAAAAATTTAAATTAAATTAAATTAAATCTTATTGATGTAATACATATAATTTATTTAGATAGCATCTATAGACACTTTATGTAGGGGTGTTGTATTAGTCACGCAGACACAATTTGAAATGATTAAAAGTGTCATGAAATTTAAATATATATATTGGATAAGATTACGTTAGGACGGATTTATGATTGCAAAGGGGTTAAAGATTAGAAAATTAAAAGGTGAACCCAATAATTCTTATCACAAAAATATATTATAAATTCAATAATAATAATAATAATAATAATTAATGATAAACAGATATAACATTTTCTGAAGTAACCTATTAAAAATGAACATAAGTTATTGAAGATGAACCCTCCAATATTTAAGAGAGTCAAATTCATTGACTACTGAATCTATATTAATATATTCAGTAAATTCTCTTTCAATGTTGAGAATTATGCAATCTGCAAGAAATTCATCAGCCATTTATTGCGAAATTTAGTTTTGACACGTTTCATTGCCGAAAAAGCTTGTTCTATTGTTGCCGTAGAAACAGGAAGAGTTAATATAAGACGAATCAATCTATTAATCGGATAATATGTGTCTTTCTTTCTTGTTTCAGCTAACACTTTGCATAAATTATAAATGGTGGACAAATTATGAAAACTAAGATGATGGAGTAAATTAACGGGGTGTTCCCATATTTGAAGACGCAAGCCAGGATCTCGTATAAAAATACATATCATCAACCTCCGTTTGCTCAACTCTTGGAATTGTGAAGGAGGCCCTTGTCGCTGCTCGTTAGAGCTTGTAGTCCTACGACGGGTACTCGTACTCGTAGAAGCTGCCACGGTTTCAGATTTTTCATCTTTCAGTTCATAAAACAAAAACAAATTTAGCTCATAGGATTACCAAATACCAAGTAAGGTTTGATGCATCTTGTAGTGATACACTGTTTGATCAGTGCTCATAGATTAACAATAATAATTCATGAAGTCATCAACCGATCAACAAATTAAGCCTTTTTTTTTAACAAAACAAAAACCAATATTTCATTAAATTAACAATAATAATCCATGATATCCATCCACCTCTAGACATGGAAAATTAGATTAAAATGTACTCAATTTAGTAACGATGAAAATTAAAAATCACCTGTAAATGGAGTTTTCATTGCGTGTTGAGAGGAAGTGGAAGAGGAATAGTAGTTTCCACTGTTCAAACGACTGTCGCCGGAACCACCTGATCATGCGACTTAGGGTTTTTGCCTTTATTACACTGGATTGTGATTTGTGTATCAATGTATGCTTTACACACGAAGAGTTTAGGTCTTTTTCTATAGACTAAAAATGTGTTTGGTTTGCTGGGTTGGCCTGTTATATTTTACTATGGATTGGGCTAGATTGAATGGTAGATAGGAAGAGGAAGAGTAGTACATGGGCTTATAGGAATTGTAGTATTAATTTATTATTATTTTTTTAATTGGACCTGAGCTATAGTTTAGGTTAGCCCATGAATAGTTTCGCCCTGAGATTGAGAGACTATAGTGGCACATTAAAAAAAGAAAAAAAAATTAGAATTCAATGCAATTTAAAATATATCATGAGTTAAATATAATAATATAAAATTAAAAAACAAAAATAACAAACATCTCAAATGCTTTGTTTGGAAAATTAATGGAAGAGATAGGGAGAGGATGGATGACAAAACCCTAGAAAATGAAATGTATCTCCCTCCTATTTTTTTTTTAGTTGAATAGAATGCATAATAAAAAAGATAAATAGAATGATCGAATATACACTATCTTTCTTGACCAATATCGCTCTCGGGCTCCAAAGCCCTACAACACGTTGCATACACGGTGAAGGATGATATAAATTCACCCTCGACGTGTTTTTAACGCGTTACTTAACGCACAAGTTTGTATTACCCATATCTGGGAACATGCTTTTCGTGTTTCTTCTATGCGTGTAAAATGTGGACTTAAATTTCCATGCCACTTGTAATTAAAAAGGTCCCTATTTCCCCTCATCTGACTGGCCCCACACCACCTTTCTCCGATGCACTCGCCACCATACGAACATATCTCAAAATAAATTAGATTTTCTTCGATTTTTTTCATCTCTTTTAGGAGGAACCTGGAAGGGTCCTTCTTTCTGACAATTTCAAGCCAGTGGACGTCCAGAGAAGAGAGAGAAAGAGGAGACACGAACACAAGCGAGGAGAAGGTAAGATTCGATCTGGGCAAATGCTCTTTTCTGCAGAATTTTTGATTTCTGAGGGGCGTTAATTTCAATGTTCATTAATTCCTCCTATAATTGCCTCTCTATTTTTTTTTTTTTTTTTGAAATTCACAATCCCATCTTCTGTTTCTTCAATCTAATTTTTACTTTCATTTTTGTTTTATTTCTATTATCTTTCTCAATTCTTCAGCTAGATTCAGAATCAGGTCATTCCGTGATAACCCATTACATATTTTTGTCTCTTTGTTCATACGTCTGCATACATTTATTGATGTAAGTTCAATTGTTTATGCTTCTGAATTCTCTGTGAGGCCGTGTTAGGCAAATAATTTAATTTCATGGAATACCCATCTCGCATTTCCCTGAATTTTGCATTTTCTTTCGGGATTTCTGGTTTCCTTTTTGGTCGGTGTTGAAAAGTTCACATCTTGTTGGTAATTTCCAAGAAAATTCTATTACACAATTGTTAATTGCTGTTTTTTTCTATCGATTCATGTAATTGTGTTTTATATTCTTTGCTGTAAAAGTTGCGTAAATGATCCATCTTCTTGTTCTCTTCCCTAAATTTTTGTTGTCTCTCTCCCTGGGTTGTATGATATATTTTTTAAATGAAATATCCATTAAAAATGAATGTTTGTTGATAAAATCTGAAACAGCCAAGTTATTTATTTAATTTATTTCCTTAGGTTGTGTTGTGTCTCCTCTTTATTGAGCAAAGAGGTTTTGAGGAGCTCTTAAGAAGAAAAGGGGGTGGAAAATATGGAATTTGAGACCAACAGTTGGATCTGGGATGGGGCGTATTACTATCCACATTTATTTGGTGGTATAATGCTCACAGCTGCGTTGCTTGGGTTGTCCACGAGCTATTTTGGTGGGATGACAGTCCCTGGTTTGCCGTATTTATTGCCCGATTTGAGGATTTTCCAGAAGAAGAAATGTGGGAAGAAACACGTTCGGGTTTACATGGATGGATGCTTCGATCTCATGCATTATGGCCATGCAAATGCATTGAGGCAAGCAAAAGATTTGGGAGATGAATTGGTGGTTGGAGTTGTGAGTGATGAGGAGATTATAGCCAATAAGGGTCCACCTGTTTTATCCATGGATGAGAGGTAATTCTGGCGCGTATTTCTTTGATTTATCATGCGAAAACATGTAGTTCTTTTTTTCAGTAATTTGTTGAAGGTTTAACTACCATTCTCTGATTCCCAACTTCCCTCTTAGAGGCAATTGTCCCGTGATAGTTTGCTAATATGTTTCTATATGCATATATACAAATTAATATATACATGTTTTACGTTTACATATCCTATGCAAATGATCCCTAGAGTTTTGGTAATATGTTTCTAAATGCATAGAAACGAATTAAGGAAAGTTTAGCTTTCTGATTATTTGAACTCAATCCAACTATCACATGCAGATAATTCATTTCCCTTGATATGAGGTCTACATGTTCTACTAATTGGTATTTTGCTGCATTCTATTCACTTCACATGGAGTTGGGATTGGAATTACACATATATTTAAAATTCTGCAACTTGTACTCTCCACCTAAGATGGCCCTTCCTGGTGTGGTCATTGGATCCTTATTTGTAGGATAGCAATAAATTAGTTCTGTGCTTTATCATTTGATAGATGTCTATTAAAGAGAACCTAAATGAACCAATTTGATGAGTTTTTCACAGCAGTTATTTGATCAACTTTTCTGTATATATCACCATTTTGATTCTTTGAATGTGATAGGATTGTTCCATACGTGATTCTTGTACTTCTTGTGATATATATATATATATATTTTCCAGGCTGGTCCTTGTTAGTGGGTTGAAGTGGGTGGATGAAGTCATTCCCAATGCTCCTTATGCAATTACTGAAGAGTTCATGCACCGTCTCTTTAATGAGCATAAGATTGACTATATTATACATGGTGATGATCCTTGCCTTCTTCCGGATGGAACCGATGCTTATGCTGCGGCTAAGAAAGCTGGTCATTATAAGCAGATCAAACGCACTGAAGGTGTCTCCAGCACAGATATTGTAGGTACTATTATTCACTTATTCTATCACAGAATCATTTCGGTCAAACAATGCTATTTTGGTAGGAAAAAGACATGATATGTATTTGGTAATCTCATGTGTTGATCTAGCAAGCTTAAGCTCATTTGAGATTGTGGACATATTGGGAGTTGGTTTGAAATCAAATTTGTTTTCCCAGTCCTTTAAATTTGATGATTTAAACCAATGCACTCTACACAGGTGCTCAAGGTTATTGGGGTTGAGTGCATCTGATCATCACCGTAGTTCATTTGTCTAGATCTCACACACTGTATTAGAAGAAAAGAAGTTGTTCTATATATTATTATCGGTGTTACTCATTGGCCAAAGATGATCCAAACTTTTACTTAGTTAACTATATAACTATTTGTATGTAGGAAGAATACTTGCTTCCGCTAAGGATACAAAAGTCTATGAAGATCGTCATGAATCATCTTTGTCACAAGAACCTCGTACAATGAAAAGCAGTCAGGATGAGGAAAGTCATGCCAAGGGTGTCCACATATCTCATTTTCTACCTACATCTAGACGGATTATGCAATTTTCAAATGGCAAGGTATGTTTTGTGTTATTTCTCAAACATCATTATAATAAAGATGCTGCGTATGGTAACCTTTTTAAATACAGTAACTTTATTTTTTTCATCTTTTCATTTTTTTTTTATAAGTAAAAATTTGGGTTGGAGATCCTTATTTTTTCATCTTTTCTGCACAAATAGACGCACATCTTTTGTTTCCTTTGATAATAAATCCATATTAGTCATGTATGATTTACATAAGCATTTGACTCATATGCCCCCAAGACTGGCATCAGGTCAAAACTTGAGGAAATTGTCTATGGTCCTTAGGCAGAAGGAATGGTGCAAGACCGTCCACAAAAAAGGAGGAAAAAAAAAAAAAAAGAAAAAAAAAGAAAAAAATGAAAAAAGAAAAGAGAAGATAAAATTGAAAGAACAAATATTTGTTAATTGATTTATGTAGTTGACTTCTCAAAACGATAAAAAGTAAAAAAAAAGAAAAATTGATTTATCCAAACAATCGGTAAGACTTGGTTGATGACATTGATGAATGGAGTGCAAAGTGGTTTTATTTTAGATTTAACTTTTCTTAATAATCCAAATGGAGAATCTTACAAAATGTACTGAGAAAACTCTTTGAATATTGGACAAGAAGGCCTATATGATCAAACTTATGTTTTCAGATGAATATAGTCCATCGTTTTCACATGTAAGAAGTCCAATGTTATTTAATAGTGTCTGCCATTTAGGAACCTATCACTTGTTCCCGCATCATATGGAATCACAACATTTTCTTTATTTGGTTTGTTAATGTATATGCTCTTGCTCCTCCTCCTATCACACATCAAATCCTTAATCATCATCATCCTTCCTTTTATCTCATATGGATGGGGTTTGCCACATGAATTCTCTTTTTATTCAAAATATTAGAATAATTCAAAATTATGGATGTATGTGTTTGCCGGGAGTTGAACCCGGGTATATCCTTAATATGTCTACTAATTTGACCTTAACGGCTTAATCATGGATGATGAGCATCTACCATTGAAGTTCTATGCTGTATTCTGTTTGCAGGTGATATAATTAACTGATCAAATTAGAGTATGAATAAATTCTATGTTAAAACTTAGGGCATTTATTTATTTATTTTGTCGTTGCTCTCCTCTAGCTCTCATTGTGTGCCTCTTACTCTCTTTGCTAATTTTCTTCCTTATAAATTGCGTAAAAAGAAAAAGGGAGAGAGAGAATAAAGAGCTGAGTAAGTAACTTATATTTTCACAACTCTTCTGGATAAGGATGAGCAGGGATAAAACAGATTATATGGATTGAATTCTAATAAAAGTGGGAGTAAAATGGAGAAAAGTCAAATTGATGTTTAGTAGATCCATATGAGGGTGAATTGAACAGGATGCTGCTGCTTGAGTTACAATTATATTATCTAGAATGTTATGTGATAAAATTATATCTACCAAAATAACTGGGAAACTTGATGAGATGCTATAATGGCACCCACTACAATCAACTCGCATTTGTCTTTAGTACAGTCCCATAATTCCATCAGACATCCTCAATCTTCCAAGAACTAACATAACTTTGAGCATTTTTTAACGTTTAGTTGGATGATTCGAGCAATTGGGTTTCTATCTTCACAGTTTAGGAACTGTATTTTGCATATATAGTACAACAGATCGAGGTGGTGGAGGAGGATGCATTAATGCTCTCTCTCTCTCTCTCTCCATCCTAAATGGTTTCAAAGATATTTCCACATGTTTATGAAGATTTTCATGTGAATGTTCTGCTATTTTATCTATTTTCAGGGGCCTGGACCAAATGCTCGTGTGGTGTACATTGATGGAGCATTTGACCTTTTTCATGCTGGACATGTTGAGGTATGGTTATTAGTCTCAACTTTATGTTTTGTGCGTTTTTTTGCTTTATTATTATTACGCTTTGTAGTTGTTTGAGTTGATTTCAAAATGTACGCATCCATTTTGTGCTATCACTTTTGCATTTTTAATCTTGAAAATTTAATCTTGCTATGGGAATTTGGATGTTTGTAATCCTCCCTGGTTTAGTGGATCCATCTTTGTAGCATTTTTCTTCTTGAACAGCCTTCAACCATTCTAGTTGGGCATGACCTCTGTGCATTTTATGTTAATGTACTGCAAAATTGTACCCAAGTTTTAGGACTTCACGGCTGAGTGTACCCTTTCCCATGGACTTTTGGCTTCTAACTTTGGCTCTTTTACAGACTGCTGCCTTCTACAATCTAGATCCAACTTTAATAATGCTAAGGACGCTGCAATGCATTCAAGAGCTGTGCCATATCATCAATTTGCATATTTACATAAAATAATTTGAGTGTTTCAGAGAAGCTATTCTATGAGGGAAGTCCCCAGGAAGGTCTTTCTTTAGTTTGCTTTCTGGCCAGTGTTCGGTTTGAGAAAAGTCGAACAGAGAACTTTTGCCTTCGACAAGTTCAATGAAATTTTCTACGCTTCTGATGATGGAAGACCTGTTATGGGAAACAAATTTTTTTTTAATCTGTTTTCACAGTTCACGTGTTCCAAAATTCTGCGGTAGAATGCTGATATACCTGCTTGTTTAGTAACATATAATATAGTTATTCATTGCTGTTTTATTCTCTTTGGTTCATCTGTGTTTTATTTTTTTCCGACTTTGGTTCTTCTGCTTGCATACCCAACTTTAACATAGAAACATTATATGGTTAACGTAGTAAATTGACTGACACACTAATGCATAGCACAAATCACCTAGTCTGCGTAAGATGTGCAGTGCTCCCGCTCTCAATTCACTGCAGACTGAAGGCGGAATCTGCAGATTGATTTTTTAGGATTGTGGATCGGCTTTCCTTGGAAGACAGATCCTAGCACTCCCAAGTATGAACCTCTGGATCAGGTCTCCCCTCACCTTAAGGCACACAAACAATGAATTATATTCTGTGAAATCTGGGACCTACTGAAGGGTAACAAAACAGTTTAATGTTTGATTGTGTTTCAAAAGAATTGAACTCGTGAACAATCAGAATACGTAGCATTGCTTGCTGTTGTAACACGACTTCATATGATAAACATGTTCCTTTTGTTACTTGACGCTGGGTTTTGTATTACTTACCTTGGTGCAAAAGGCTCTCGTGGGTCCTTTTTCAAACCCATCTCAAATATGATGTGGTAGGGCACTTGTGAAAGTAACAAAGTCTTTCCTTCCGAAATCAACTCCTGATATCCTCTGCAAAGGCCAAGGGAGAGACTGCATCCTTTTCTTTAGTAGCTCTTTTTCGTCAGCTTTCGTTCAATTTGTTGTGGATCATTGCTTTACACGATTTTAACAAAATATCACTTCCTTCTTTTCGTTTTCTAAATAACCCACCAAATATGAGGTAATTTATAATTGAGTCCTTGTGTAATACAATATTACATGTCATGACGTAATATTTATATCACTTTTAAAAATTATTAAAATATAATTTTTTTGTTGCTCTGGCTCTCACTCTGTGTGACCAAGTGCTCTTAATAAATTTTTAGGATTTGCCGCTCTCATGCTCTCACCCTGTGTGACTAAGTGTACATAATAAATTTCCTGCCCTTACTCTGTGACTAAGTGCCTGACCATATTCATGTCTAATATTTATGGAGTTGTGTTTGACAGTGTGTATCTGTAGTGAAAAATACTAGTCCATACGTCCCCACAAAATCATCTATCTGAACTTATTTATTATATTGTGACCTTTATGAGGGTCCATCTTCTGGTACAATCTGGCTCTCCCCATATTAGAAACCATCAAGATCGATGCCTTAAGATCAAGCTGTTGATCTGGGTGTTATGTTGTGTTCTAGTGCTTCTTTTCCTGATCTCTCCATTTGAGAAAAGAATTTCCTAAATGGATGTTTGGCCTGCATTCCATGGTGGATGATCTTCAAGAAGTGGTATCCCTCAAGAGTGTCATATGTGCATGCTCACATTTTGTATCTGAGCTACCGGTGTTTCAAATTTTGTCTCTCTTTTCTCAAATTTAAGATTGCAATGGTAAAAAGTCAAGATCTTAAGTGCTAAAATGCAGTTTGATTTGAAGGCAATTACTTAAGATGAATAAAGTCTATGTAAGAAATCCAATTGTTTGGTCACTAAGGAGCACAAAAGTCGATTGACTCAAAAGAAATAATTTTCAAGATATGATCCATCTTGATCTAAAGTATCAATTCCAACAAATATATCACCTGAAATATTTTGATATTTTTAAAATTTTGAATATTTTAATATATATGGAATGAATCCATTATTTTGATTTGTTATTAGAGGTTTACCTGTAAATTATCTAGCCCTCTCAACACCCTTGGTTGACAGGACTACCACTGGCCACATATTTACAAAGTGATTGAAACATCAGAAAGTGCAATGCTTATATTAGTATGCTCGTGTTGATTCTCTGCATGCATGGGTATGATAAGGTTTCCTGATAAGTGATAACATAATTCATGGGGAGTGCCGAAAAGTAAACAGAGTTATGGTGTCAGGTGGGACACATACCATTTTTCTCGGTAATTTTAGATCTTGGAATGTCATGGCAGCATATCCTCGTAATTCAGAAGTTTACATCAAAGTTCTTCTTTATCACTATGTTATATAATATTCATCAGTGAAGTCACCTTTTTCTTTGTATACTCAGATTCTCAAGAATGCGAGGCAACTTGGAGATTTTCTACTCGTGGGACTCCACACTGACCAGACTGTCAGGTATTGTCATTTATCGTCATGCTTGATCTTCCTTTGCCTCATGGTTTATTGCTGCACCTAACCATTGATATTTCATGCAGTGAAAATCGAGGGACTCAGTATCCCATAATGCATCTACATGAGCGTAGTCTTAGTGTACTGGCCTGCCGTTATGTAGATGAAGTCATCATGGGAGCACCGTGGGAAGTTACCCAGGATATGGTGTGTTTAGTATTTTATATTTACATAACTTAGTGCCATTCTATAAACAATTGCGTTTTAAGCTATAGGAGCTAATTTTTCTGAATGGCAAGTTGGCAACTATTGGTTTTTTTTTTTTTTTTTTTCCTCTTGTAGTTGTATATGCATTACTGCCTTTAGTGGTCTTGTTTGGCCATTTGAACCTGAAGTTCCTCTGTGGATTAACAATCACGAATCTTATTTCTTCATAATAATATGTTGCATTAGAATTGTTATGCTTCCAGCTTTAGAAGTGAGCTTTTATGTAGAATATAATGTGCATAGTTTAAGGATTAGATGTTGCAACCGGCTATCATGATTCTTCTGCAATAACCATGCTTAAAAAGTGTGTTAGGGTTGTTAGACTACATTACACGTCCTGGTTTACTAATACCATGATATATACACATCCCATGATGGGAAGTTTCTAATGAATTTCAGGAACTTGTCAACAAAATATTAATTAGGTCCTTATAAAGTGCATACCGAGCACTTTATTGTCATTATGAGAGTGCAAATCTTAATTGGACAATTCATCAATTATCATATATTTGACAAATGCCTGCTGAATTAAGAGATGTTAATATGTCATTGGCACAGCTGTCAGATTTTGAACATAAACTTGCATAAATATTATTCGTTAAATAAAAAACATGACTTCTGTTCTTGAGATGGTAACATATTGTATTTAGCGGAGAAGAATTTCCTTGTAAAGCCTTAAAATTGGACTCAGAATTTCTTGACCGTTCAACTTTTGTTTACTGCAGGTTTCTGTTGTGAAATAATTAGGAGCTTGTTATAACTCTCTCTCTTTTGTTTCTAAATCCCATGCATAATCCTTTCAGAAGTATCATCTCGCTCTTTCAAAAACAGTGTTTATAGTTCTTCTATGAGCTTTGTTACTTTTTTTCTTCTTGTTGCTTCTGAAGTCTGCTTTTCTGGCACAGATAAAAACTTTTAACATCTCTTTGGTTGTGCATGGGACAGTTTCTGAGAACGACTCTGTCTTGAATGTAAGCTGACACACTTTTATCATTTCAAGCTGCTTTGTTAATGTCTAGAACCCATTTTCTTAAACAGATAATTTACATAATGCAGGGTAAAGCTGATCCATATGCTGTTCCCAAGAGCATGGGAATTTTTCGGATGCTTGAAAGTCCAAAGGATATAACTACCACTTCAGTAGCCCAAAGGATAATTGTGAATCATGAGCTTTACAAGGTAATCCCTATATGCCTCACTTGATTACTCCAAGATTTCTTTTCTGCTAGAAATTTGAAGATTTTTTATAGGGACCCTTCCATGAACTGTTTCAGTGTATTTTCGTCTCACACACACACACACACACACACACACACACACAAAAAAGGGAAGAAAGAAAGAAAGAGGATAAAAAAAAAAAGAAAAGAAAAAGAAAAAGGAAAGGCAAACTACATCTTAAAGTACGCTATGTCATGGAACCTATACACATTAGGCAACACACTAGACTATCCTCCTCCAATCTTTCTCAATCACCAACTACAGGTTCTGCCACGGATACAATCTAAAACGAAAGTCTACAATAGCTTTAAAGGGCATAAGCAAAGTATAGATCTCACATGGCTAACCTTCATTTTTCTTACTTTACTACTATATAATATAAATACTGACTAAAAGGAATGGAATTTCTCAAGGGTCTTTGCATCCAAATCTCGGTGAAAAGTACTACCTGCAAGCAAAATAAAATCTTGACTTCCCACGGATAAAGAAAGCCAGTCAAAAATTGACTGAGCCCAGTGTGATTGTTCATTAATGAAATAAGAAAGAGGGTGAGTGAAAGGGGTTGAAAGATGAAGTCAAGATGGAATTACATTTTCATTCTCCTGCCCTTTTCCCAAAGAGTACAAACCGCTGAATATTGAAATAGATTACACTAGTACAATGATCACTAACCAAATTCTGAACCATTACCTTTGGAGTATATCTTATTTGGCTGAAAAAACATTGGTTGGAGTTCTTAACTTCTTGGGACATTGTCCAAAATCAGCAACAGATCAACATATTTGCTGTTTGAGTGGTTATCTATGCACTTTCTTTCTTTTTTATATACATATAAATATTTCACATCATTGATTATATTAAAAAGAAAGTGACTGTGATAAGAATCCCTTTTAAGACATACACAGGTATTGAGGATGCATGAACTTGAAAGCACTTTTAGGTTGCATCAATTTAATCATATTCAACTTTTGGGTTGTGCTGTGCTATCATTATTGTTGTGAAGTAAAATCAGCTTATCATATCTGCAAGTGGGCCTACACTTACAAATTCTTTGTTTCTTTTATTTATTTATTTATTATTTTTTATTTTCTCATAGTTATTTTTTAAAAGGTGCTCTAAAAGTTCTGTATCGAATACTTCCTCAATTTTCTCTAGTTTCCTCATTCTCTTTTAATTTTTCCCCCCCTTTCTGAACTGTTGTTGGAATTTTAATAGTTTTTTAAGGGTAATTGAAGAAGTTACTTTCATCCCTTCTTGTATGATACATGGTTGATGTATGTTAAGACATCCGTCTTTTATACTTTAATTTGCCAGTTTTTTCCATGGTGTTCTGCATATTGGAATTAAGCTGATTATTTTGATTTGGGAGCTCCTAGAACTGATTCACTTCCACTTCTGCAGAAACGCAATGCCAAAAAGGAAGCAAGTGAGAAAAAATACTACGCAGAGAAGAAATATGTCACAGGAGACTGAGAGGTCCGAGCGCAGATTTCAATTGGCGGTATCATTGACAGTTTTTCCTTCAAACCTTTAGCCTTCATAGAAATCACTGTTGCTGCTAGATAGAAATCATCCCTTATACTTTATTCGTGAAGGATATATGGAGGAGGAGTACCGATACCGAAGGAATGAAGGATATTCCCTCATCCGAAGCTTGATGTAGTGTTCTCCTGTATTGTGCTGTCCCTAAGAATAGAAGTATAGATACGTTGACATGGCGATCTTGCCATTTGCTTGGTTTTTACTAATCTTGAGAATCTGTATGCCCATAGTTTGATTTATTGAGGCCTTGGTTGAAACTACATTGTGTTCCAACGGCGGCTGGCTTTTGGTCCAGTTCAATCATGTACTCACTAATTTGGAAACGTTGTAATTTTTGTATACGAGAGTGTCCTTTAAAAAAAACTCCATTAGGTAGGTGTATATGTAAAGCTTTGGATAAAGCATTACATGTTTGATAATTTAAATTTTACCTTTATTTAACAACACGCTTCGATAGTTAAAAGGCACGACATTTACCTAGCTACATTTCTGGGTCTGGTTGACCCAAGCTCAATGAGCGGTAACACGCACCTACAATGCTAGTAAAGAGCCAAGAGTGCTCTTCCAGCTCTCGAAACATGGTAAAAATGGATATGAAGTTCTTATGTCTAGTCTTCGTCAAGAAGGGATAATGGGTTTCGATCACTTTTTCGAAAATAATTACTACGTATAAAAAAACTCAGAAAACAGCTAAATAAAAGACAGTTTGCAGTTCTAGTACCGAGTTTTCAAAGAGCTAAAACTAAACAAGTTTCTAATCAGTTTTAATTTTCAATTTTTTTTTTTTTTTTTTAAGGGACATGTATAATGAGAAAACTGAATCAAACAGGCGCGAGTGCGAGTAAGAACTAGCACGGAGGGGCTCTTTGTAGCCCGCGCCGCCGGGGCACTCAATGAACAAAGGTAGGACTCTCAATTGATATAGTGAGAGAATTTCATCACAGTTTGATGACATTAGGGTTCTTAGGATAATTGTTCCGTGTTGTTGATCCAAAAGGGTGACCTGAAACGGAATTAATGTTCATATTTGTTTGAGATTGAATAATCATGTTCAACGACACCACTAAAGAGAGATTCTACAATGTGCAAATCGAGGAAGGAAAGTACTACAACAGGCAAACATCATCTACATTCGCCAACAAATATAAAAAAAACAACACAATAACCTTCCATAGGCACATCGCTTGAAGTAGCAGCTCAATAGACAAGCTGAGATCAAGTAACCGAGTGATACTTTCATTTCTACAAAAACTTCAGCTTCCAATTCCAGAGCCAATGGTCACAACATCAAACATCTAGCACCATTCTTCGGTTGATCATCCTCCTCATCGAATCTATGTTTGAAGACAACTAAACCCAAAACAGAATAGATTGCAATGCAAGAGCATATTTACCGGCTGCTCATCCAAGAAGTTCCATCACCGGAACCACACAACAGGAGTTGATGTGTTCTGGGGAAGCTGCGGAATCATGCAATGCTGTTGCGGCCAATGGTGTAATCCTTCAGTTACATTTGCCCCACCGAATTCATTACCTTGCACTTGTTCTGTAGGGATGTTATCGTCTTCAATGTCCATTGTTGTTGCCTCCATTTCTTCAGCCTCCATCAATTCAGAAGCTTGTGCATGCGGAGCTTCATTTTGTCTTGGGGGGAACTGAGATGGGTTCCATGGAACAACAGCCAAGCATTCACTTGTTGCGGTATTGCCATTTGCTGCAGCTTCATCCTCTGCTGTTTTGATTGGATTAGACTCCTTGGACCAGAAAACAACTTGATCTGCACAGCACACCAACTAAATAAATACTCCCGTATCTCACAAATTAACAATGGCAACCGAACAGTATGTCTTTCAATAATCAATTTGTCCTAAAAGGGAAACTAGCAATCCTTGGAAGTGATATCTAACTTCCACGATTCAATTTCATTTGTAGGATATTTCTTAGGCCTCAATGCTACAAGTACATCAAGACATGTTTTCCACTATACTGCAAGCCCTGGCTCTTCATGCTCTAAGCCATCCGTGGGGCTGACTCTTGCTTGCTCTGAAATTTCTTAGGCCTGAATACTACAAGTACATCTAAATGGCTAAAAATCCTTTCTGAGACATCTAATACTCAATACAAGGACAGCCAAAAATCCTCCTCAATACATTTAGACCTCAAAATACTAGATCCTCACTCCATCAGAGATTCCGAGTTGTGACATTCATCACTTATGGAGAGAGAAACACAACTCAATCGCAACATCCAAGCTTGCAGAGTTTAGAGAGCTGACACTCGCAAGTGGCAACAAAGAAAATCCTCCTAGGACCTTAATAATCTCCATTTAGTTCCCTAATAACACTAACCACTACATTAAAACTTCAATATTCATAAAGCTGAGACTATAAATTCTCAAATACTATCAAGTGACTCTAGTTTCAGAAGGTATTAGGCCCTTGCTTCCCAAAAGGAAGTCAGGGGTTCAAGCCTCAATGGAGGCATGTGTGTGAGAGTAACAACTTAAAATAAAAAAAAATAAAAAAAAAGGGTAACTCTAGTTTCCAGCTATTTAGCTATTGTTCATACTGTCAACAAGTTCAAGATTTTACAATTGTATACATAGAGACTACATTAAATCAGAAGGTTAAGGTACGGAAAGTGCAACATTATTGAAATTCTTAATTATATAGTAATCAAAAAGAAAAGAACATGCATAGGGTGTCTCATATTATATGCATTCTATTACTATCTAAAACTTAAATTTCTACTCTCACCTCAGATTTTCTAGTTATATAGTAATCAAAAAGAAAAGAACATGCATAGGGCCTCTCATATTATATGCATTCTATTACTATCTAAAACTTAAATTTCTACTCTCGCCTCAGATTTTCTTAGGAACCAAAACAGTTAAATTTAACCTTATCTTCCATTAAACAATAATAGGAAGTATTTATGAATGTGTCATCCATGTTTGGGGAAAATAACTCCAAAAATTAGGTTTGAGAACTTACTTCTAAACCCAGTAATTAAGTCAGGACTGACTGAAACAGAGAAATTTGAAGGTGATTGCATCAAAGGTGAGTTCATGGGCTTGAAGAGAACAATAGCCCTCTCTTCATTCACAGGCTCACAAGGCAATTCCTCTATGACTGGACCTCCCACTTTCTCCATACTATCTGAAAGGTGCTGCGTTTGGGGCATTGAGTGTTGAAAAACCAGAGGTATCTCTGGCTCGTCCTCTTCCATTATTGGCGGCAAATCGGTATCCTAAAATCAATTCAATCCATTTGATCAGTCAGAGAAGAGAGATTTCATCGAAAAGGCTATGCTCCTATGCTTGGTTTCAGGGAAAAAGCGATGGAAAATTGAACGGAAAAGAAGACAGAAATACTAAAAAAAATCGCCAATTAATTATAGGAAAAACGATAATCTATACTAATGTTTAATAAAATTCGCGGGAAAACCCTAAAATAAGTAAAGACCTTCAACGGGTAGAGACTGCATTTTTCGGTAAAAGGAAAGAGAGATTGTAATATTGATACAAAGAAAAAGTAGAGAGAGAGAAATTGCACAATTTGTATGAAGAAATTAGAGAAATTTTAGTTACCAATCGACGGATTTTTCTGGCAGGCGAAGAAAGAGAGAAATCTGAGAAATCGTCGTTCACTCGATCGAGTTCCTTCCTCTTCATCTTCAACGGCAAGTACCCCGCCATGCTTTGACCTCCAACAAAACAAGCCCTAACTAAACTAAACCCTAAAAATTATTGATCGATTGTACTCTATATATATATATATATAAAGTTATATATATGAGCGACAATGGATGCTCTCTCCTTCTCTCTCGAAGATTTGTGGTTTCTCTCTGAAAATCTAGATGATGATGATATTATTGTTTTGCGCAAGTTAAATTATGGAAATTGAGGTTCAATTAAAGAAGGGGTTTGGAGAGACTTCTTTCTCTCTCTGGATTTCTCCAGAAGGTAGGGGTAGGAGAGAGTCCAATACACGGTCACTTGCGGGGCTTAAATTGATCCGTGTACTCGCTTAGTGGAAATGACACGTGTCCTGAGCTAGGTTAATTGAGTAGTTGACCGATTTGACTTTTATATTTTCGGTGACACCTAAATCATGATTTGTCATTACATAAGATTTGCAGACAGGTGCCACGTGCTTTTATCAGCAAGGTTTTTTTATTTTATTATTTATACTATATTTATAAAATTTTCTAATTATACGAATAATTCGAGAATTATTTAAAATAAAAAAAAAAGACCATGAAAAATAAAATTGTCATAAAACACAAGATATTGGATTTTCTAATTTTATAATAACGAACTATTGGATGTTGTTTGCTTTGCTCTTTGTGTTCTTTATTGTGTTTGTTTGGATTAAGAAAAAAAATACAAATTGAGACCAAAAAAAAAAAACAAAGTGAATGTGATCTAACTTTAAAGTTTTGTTTGTTTCAATGTAAAATATTTTTAAAATTTTTTTTTTAAATAAAATATTATTTTATTTTTATTTTATCCGTATTTAGCAAATTTTATGTCAAGATTGAGATTGAGTCAGTTGGACGGGGCATGTAAAATAATTTGTTAAAAATTGATGAATAAATTATTTTTGTTAAATTTTAATATTTTATTTTTTCATAAATATTTTACGACAATTAAATACCAAATATATATATATATATATATATATATATATATAATGTAAATGCATGTGGGAATAAAAAATGAGAAAGGAGAGAAATAGGGCTAGCCTTTGCTTGTTTCTCCACATATGTGATTAAGAAAGAACCCAAGTAAATGGCTAATTAATGCCAATAATATATATATATATATATATATGTAATTAATCCAGTGACTGCATGACTTCTATGCACATTTGACCTCATCATATTGTGAGACTGATATATATATATATATATATCAATGCGACTTGAAAAAGAATAACTAAGAGGTTCCAGTTGGGGAGATAACCCTTGTCAATGCGACTTGACAAAAGGTTTTAAAAGAAAATGAACAAACTATTAACATATTTAATATTTGACATTACCTCATATGAAATAGATAATTAAGTAGAAGACATCCTCTGAAAGCATTTCCAAGTTTAAAACTTAACGCAACTTGTTATAAAATAATATTTTAGCCATATACTAATTGTTAATTAGTAAGTGTTTAAGAAAACTATGAAAACACACCCTCCATTAAAAAAAAAAAAACAATATAATTGATATTTGAGAGAAAAATGTCAAATAACTATTTCCGTGTGTTTAAATTCAGATCATTTGATTAATTAATTAGATTAGAAACGATTATTGGGCAAATACTCCCATATATATGAAAATTTTGTGATATTTTTAATCCATCCTTTTTATATTTAAATAGATTTAAATATAAAAAATTAACACGGCTTATCTTTCAACTCACAGTTGTAAAAAAAAAAAAAAAAACTCAACAAATTAAAATGCAAAATAGGGAGAGGTGAAAGGCAGAATTGCCCCTAAATATCAAATCTGTTCCCAACACATCCTGAAATGACATGTGTTGGGCTTCAACCCGAACAGCCCATTGAGAAGCCCACAAACACGAAGTCAGTCGGAAACAAGCCAGCCCAACTTGGAGATGAAGAAAGGAAATTAGGGTAGAAAGTGTGACATATAAATATAGGAAGGGGCATGAAAGAAGGAGACTTTTGATGTATGAGAAAAGAAAGAAATACATTTTCTTAAACAATACCATTTAGTAAAACAAAAAATTGTTGCTAATTAGTCTATCTCAGTTGTAAGAGTCTATCACAGATCTAGAATGGTTTATGTTAAAAATGGATGAGGAATAGGATGCATTCTAAACAACCTTTTCTAAGATCTACTACAACAATTTAGAATCATACCTACATGATACAACTCTACACAATTTTGGAAGAGTTTAAAAGAAAATCTTCAAAATTTAGTTAGATTTTCGTTAAAAAACAAAGAAGAGATGAGTTTGTTTGACGGACCATTTTTTATGATCACAATTGAAATCTCAAGTCCAATAAGCTGTAAGTTGCCGCTACAAAATTCTTATTATTTTTTATTTTTCAAAAATTGAAAAAATCAAATTTAGGAGCAACCCATGAGTGAAAAAGTTTTTTATACCCCAAATCCAAATTAGATCCACCAAAAATAAAGAGAAAGAGCAAACTGAGCACACAACCATAGTAATAAAGATCAAAGATTAAAATTTCATTAAATTGGGAAATATTTTCATCATCATTATCAAAATTGTTCTAATATCTATGTCATGATCCAAAAAGACCCCAAATTAAAAAACTAAAATAAAAATTCAACATCTCATTGATACCCATCAATGCAACATTAAAGATTGAGGGATCAAAGATGGTTGAAACCAAAAACAAAACCATATATACTAAAAAAAAAAAAAAACCTAGCCATCATCGTTAAACACTAGTTTTTTGCAACAGGGGTGAGAAACCAGTAGAAGCGTTGTTGGTATCCTTGCAAGAATCGAGAGATACCACACTGAGGAAATCATCCAACCCTAACCTACCGAACCTGTGCTCGTCTTTCTCCAGAAGCTTCAACACTTCTCTAAAGAACCCAACCTCACAGGGCAAAACCAACCCACCATCGCTCTGATACCCAAACTCTTCTTCGGCCTTGTCAAGCAGAGACACGAAGACGGGGAGTTTCAGAAACCGGGTCGGGATCACGAAACGGCATCGTTCGGCCCCGACGTAAACAGCCAGCGACCCAGGTGGGGTGGGACGGGTCGACCTGGTATCGGAGGATGAGTCCGAATCGGAGGGGGGGAGAATGGCCCGGTGGTTCAGGGTTACGTTCTTCCACCGTTGGACCACCCGTTTGAGGCGCACGATTTGGATAATTTTGTTGACCGTCTTGATGGCAGAAGACATTGCAGTTCTAGAGAGAGAAAGCTCACTGACCACAGAGGAGAGGAGAGAGAGGGAGATGATGAGATACACTAGAATTTAAACTCTGAGAAGGGAGAGAAAAAGCTTAAAGAGGAATAATATTAAATTCAAATTAAAGTGAGTTTTATATTTCTGTAATTAACTAAATTTACCTAATAAAGCATCATTAACTCATTAAGTTACTAAAATAGCATCTGATTCTAAATGTATGCACATATGCTAAATATTTATCTTTGACTAACTTATTTAATTTGATTTGATTTTAATATATGTCGACATAATTATTATGATGGAATAATTTTTCATACTTAGTAACGTCATCTTTGTTCTTTTTTCTTTCTTTTTTATTATTTTTTATTTTCGAAAGTTTAAGCAACTAAATATTTAGAGTAAATTCTGACAAGAACAATCCTCTTCCAAGACTTTTTGAGGCAAAATTTTTTTTCATTTTGTTCTCCCCAGTACGATAAACCATTGAAGATATGCATATCCACTGTAGGTCATCCCAGTCGCGAATTGAAGTGTAGAAATTGCAGACATGACAATTTTACTTTCTCACCAAACAACGTCGATTCCCCAATCCCTAATAATAATAAAAATAAATAAATGATAAGAAGTGTGTCTATAGTGAAGTGAAGGTACATGAGGCATGATGGCACTTCACACTCTGGACACTCATCCGTGGTACTTTTGAAGTATCACTTTCAGCTCGAGGCTGGAGCATTGATCCTAATTGACCTAAATTAACTTTGCCTTTTTGTTCTGTTGGAATTTTGATTAGATGTCAATCTATCCGGTAACTTATATATGAAATGAATATTTAATTTGATAATGTATTAATAGTCAAATTGGATAACCTCTCTTAAATCAAATATCCATTATCCTATCCAATCAAATACTATAATATAAATAATATGTTATATATATATATTATTCATGAAATAGAAAAATAAAATTAATGTAGTATGTTCTAAATAACTTAAAAAAAATACTCTCGTACTCACTGTCGTTGTATCATTTGATTTATTTCATTAAGAGTAATGTTATTGGTTTTCTTCGAAGAGGATGAAGATGATTATAGTTCGTGAAGAATTGATTGAATAAGAGAGAGAAGAGAGAAAAGATAAGAGAGAGAAAACAATTGTGAGAGAAGAGTGGTGCGCCGTGAATTACTTTTTGCTTGTTTTTTTTCTTTTGAATCTCAACGCACACAAATTAAGTGACTAAGATGAGAGAGCTTGTTAGTGTTATTGCGAGAGTGCTTTCGCAATATCATTACTCTATAAAAATATTATTTACCTAATAATTTATCATGCACACCTACTCTTAGTTATTTCAATTATGCTTCATTTTTTAATTCTTTTCTTTCCTATTTATATTTTTTTCCTCGCTTTATTGTTTTTTTACTCCAACTATAAAAATCAAATATCTAATTTCTATTCTTTTCTCCTGTTCACATTTTTTGGGTTCACTTTTTCTAATCTATATTTTGAAAATTTTAACATAAGTTACCACCGTCATGTTGTTCAATAATAAATAATCCATTTAATCAGAATGAATTTGAATTTAATTAGGTTATTTAACAAATCATTTATATTTCTTATTGATTTTTAATCAGGTCAAGTCATATCGAGTCATGACTAGACCTGTTGACAAGTCTATTTGGATCTTTCTCATTACAAAAAGATGTTATGTAGTTTAAAGTACATCAAAACGAGTTGTTTTGATGCAGGCACAACAGTTTTAAATCTATAACGCTACAAATGCTATACTAACTATATTGACAATATCACATGCATGATTATTACTGGGAAAGAGATGCATACTTAACCTAGCTTGCTTGGTTAGTAAATAAATTTAGATATTTGTTTTAAAGAAAGATAAAAAAAAATTTACTTGAGAAATACACATATATTAAATTTTATGTAAGAAGTTAGTTTGAGAGAGAATGAAACTTGCAAACCCATTAATTAATTCTATCCCAATTTGAAGTATGAAATAAATTGTGCATAAATCTAACCTCCTGCTCCTTTTGCATTACAAATCGATTTGATAACCCAAATTTAGATACCATTAAAGGGATTAAGTTTCGTTTAGAATGTATAAGATGTTATGTGGAGAGACTTCACTTATTACCACCAAACATTTAAAAATTTAAACAAGAATTAAAAATTTATAATTAGTACTTAAAATTTCGTACTAAAATTTTAAATACTCAATTTACAGTTTCAATAAATAACATTATTCGTCACGTCAAGTCCATAAAGAAATGTAGAGTACAGATAATTTGTAATTTTGAAGGTTTTTCTGTCAATTTTAAAATTATTAGGCATGAGATTTGAAGTAGAAAAATGTGCACTAAGGATCGTTTATGTGTAAGTGAATCCTGAAACACTATGCTCAAACCAGCCAACAAGGATCATAGCCTTGGGGTACTCTGGCTCTTGGACCTCATCTCCTCCTTTATGAGAAATTATACAATATTATGAGAGGATTGCGATGCCCTCTTTCAATGAAAATTTCTCATTTTTCTTGAAAATTCTTCTCTATTATAGAAAAAAATAAAAAGTTTAATTGAAAGGGATACCATGTGTCAAAAGGGTACTGCTCTATTTCTTTCAACTATTTAGTGTGTGGCCTTCATAATTTGGTAGAGTCTACCCTAAAAATCGATTAACTATTCACAGAGGCGTGGATCAGTGAGTGTATGACCACCATAATATGGTGGAGCCCACACATACCTATGTAAATGATTAAAAAATTAATTATAATTGATTAATTACATCTTTCTCCAACATCAAAGAAGCTCGGGTATTGTATAATTTCTCAACGTGGCTTTAGGTTTTAGGATTTTGGTTCCCTAAGCTGAGACCATTTTCCAGTGCGTGACAGACCTTGATTTGCTAAGTCTTTGCCCTTTGCCTTTTGCTCTTGCTCCAGTGTAATACAAAAAGCTTGCCTAGTAGCATGGTCCTTCTAATCAATATGGGCACACATCCTAACGTTCAAGCATTTATAAACCTTTGATTCACATTGTGGTCCTTCCATCTGACGGCTCTCAATGAACTCCTGTGATCTGACCTGCTGACCGATAAAGTGCTTCATTCATGTGATGCCTAACATAGAGGTGTGGTATTGGGCCTGAGCAGGCCTTCTTCTCAAATGCTTGTGGGACAAAATAGGGGTTCACAGCCTTCATAAATGGGCCATGCATGGTGTTGGGCTTCATCCTTCTTGTGAAATGATTGTGGACCCACTTAGGGCTAAAAGCCTTCTTTAAAGGCTTGAAATTATTTTGGTTCCATTTTTGTTTGATATTTATAATGGACTACATTGTTTGTCCACCAATAAATATTTCTTCCCTTTCCCTCAAATTGTATTGGTGTTCTGTTTCGTATGTTTGAGAGAAAGGGAGAGTGATTCCCGGTGTTATATGAGTATACGAGGGGGTTGGAGAGAGAAATAGTTGGTTGATATAATAATGAAAATTAATGTGGTCAACATAGTTGTTTGATAACAATGGCAGAACAAAAATGGATTAAATTTTTCCCTTATATGGTTGGGTTGACTTCGTTCTGTTTTGTTAAAGAGTTACTAGTAGAAAATAGAATTACAATTTTCCCGGTATTATATGATATTAGATTAAAATAACCCTAAATATTTTGTAAATTTAAAAAGTATTTAGGGATATATTAGTCTTTTTATATAATTCTTTAAGATTAAAGAGTTTTTTTTTTGACAAAGTCAAAAGGTATATAAGTAATTTTACATGAATAGAGTCTGTGAAGTGACAATTGGGGTCTGAGTGAAAGACAAAATAAACATTTATAGTATAAATGATAATAATTTTTAAAAAATGTTTCAATACGATATTGGGGTCACTGAAATTAACCAACATATTATTATAGACCGTCTATATACTTGGAAAAATTATCGCTAAATCAAACTTTCAAAGAGATCACCAAGTTCTACTTTTAAAATTCTTATATTTTTTGAAGTTCTATTTAGGGCGCAAAGCCCTTCCCAAAGGTTTGTATTTGAGTCTTGAAGAAATATATTGGACTTTTGTTTTTAGATAGTTGGAAAAACAAAAACTACTAAGTCCTATTTTTCTTTGAAAACTCAAATAAAAACCTATCAATTGCAAACTTTCAATAAGATCTACTTTTGAAATTCTTTATTTTGAACTTCTAAATCACTAAATCATTCATTTATACTCTTACCAAAAAGAATTTAAAAAATTGGTTAGAAAATAGAAGTAAAAATTTTAAATGGTAATTTTATTCAAAATTGATAAGTAGTTCAAGTATTTTTATTCCTGAAAGTTTTTGTAAATTAATGAGTAGATTGTGAATTTAATCTATAATCTATCCGATTCACAACAACTTTAATACACAAGAATAAAAAATATTAAATATTTTAGAATGATGCTCAAAGAGCAACGATACTCTAAATTCTAACCCAACATTATTTGAGAAAATAATGGCCAGCGTTGCATATTGCACAGTTAATTAAATACAATATCCGCTCACCAATATTTTAAAAAAGTGTCATTCTAGTATATATATATTTTTATATAAATTAATATTATTCTTTTTCGGTTGTCACTAGCTATTTTTATAACTTTCCATGACATGTATAACCATAAGAGTAATGATAAGGGAATTGAAAAGATATTTTCGAATTAATAGTGAATTTGACGTAGTTGGTTATACTTATTACGTGTCAAATAATTATATTTTGGAAACAGTTTAAATAAATAAGGTGAACAAAAACACGTCAGATTCTAGACTTATTCGAAAAAATCATTCGGTGACCCTATTACTTTCTTAACCACAAATATAAAATTATTAATATAAAAAAGCAAAGCACCAAGTGATAAAAGTAAACACCATATATTATTGATAGAGGTCTCTCATAGATTACAATAATGCTTTGCAATCCTCAACCATACTAAAATTTTGAACATGTTGTTTATGACAACGATTATTCTATATATAGACCTCGATGGAGCTCGAGGAATATTTAAATCCTTCCACAGAAAATTGGAAGACATATATGATCAATACCTATAAGCACATATTCACTACCAATGATTAGCATATGCTTGTGTTCATTAAAAAGTGGGACCATATATTATAGATAAGGTTGGTTTGTTTGATATAGAATACTCCCCCAATCCCATAATGCATATTTTGTATGGAAAATTCATTTTTATTTTT